TATCATGATTCAATGCATTTTTGTTAATGTACACTGTACATATTCGATGAAAGCATGCTAACCGCTTTTCAGTACTTTCAGTACTTTGATTTTTTCATAAGATAGAGAAAAAGGCATCAATTCCCGTTAACCATACGATACTAGCAGCATTTTCCCAAAACAATAGAAAAAGAACTTAAGATAGAAACAAAAATTAAGTTTCAAAGTTTTCGGCGAAGTGTTGAACTTTTGCATCTTTTTTGTTACGAACGATAGAGGAAAGGCTGATCGGCAAATAAACACACTGTTTGCTTTTCTTGTACGAAAAAATTGTAGAATTATATTAGCATACCTTATTCATAAGCTTTACTCCCAAATAAATCACACATGATATTCATTCCAAATGTCTTTAAACTCCGAATTTTTGTGTTTGTTTAAATGAATTCTCGTTACGCATTAATTTCACTCTGCTAATACTGATCAACAGTTATGACGTCACGGGTTTAACCCCTGTGATAAATACATAGACCCAGAAACGACAAAATTCCGTTAATATTATGCATCTGCACATTTTGATTCATTTTACGACCTCAAATCAATCTTAGATATCGATTTTAAGAAATTGTTATTTCTAAAGTTCACGTCATATAGCTTACTATGACGACATATCATATAGGCAAGTAGAATATTTGGTTGTAACCTTAATATACCTGCGCACAAGACATATTACAGAAAGGCGCCTGGCACCTTTTGATCAGAAAAGCTCAACCGAATCCATTATTGCAGGTACGAGGAGAACAAAATCTCTCCAAAATAAAAAGAGAGTTTCGTTCTTGGAGAAGGTACAATAACACCCAATACATCTGAAAGCCTGCATGCATTATTTAGATACATTACAAATTACAAGAAATAGCCTTTTCATGACAAGTAAAGTACCGGGTTGTCGGTCGCATACATGAACAAATAGTTAATATATATTTGCCTTGTACCATGGGTAAAAAAAAGCCCATTATATCCTTCGACTCATTCCTTACATTAAGTATCAAAAACAGAATACAGAAAACATGTCAATCGATATAGAATTATACAGGCGGTGAAGATTTTTTATAATCTAAAACTTTAAGTCTATAATTCTTTTGCAAATATGAGAATATGAAGGAAGGGATTAATTTGAAAAAGGTCAACAATTATAGTTAACAAGCTTTATCAATCAGGGGAAAAGACGTGTTTGCCAATATTTTTGATATATGAGATAGAAATGCAACCAGGTCATATTTAAAAAAAGGGTAGACTGATTTTCTTTTGATTGCAAGAACTTTAAAATTATAACAATGTAAGTTAATCAATGCTATATGAAGAATGTACGTATATAAATATAATTTTAAGTTTTGTTCATATTATTATAACATCTGACGTAAATTACGTTCTTATGTAAAGCACTACACGTTTCAAATATTTTTAACAATTTAGGAAGAATAAAAATGAATTGCGAAAAAAAGAGGGCCGTCGTCAAGCCTCTCTTTAAAAATTCCCGAAGAGGGGCATTCCCATAGCTTGAAATTCCTTTTTTACAAGTTGATAATATATTACTGATCAGATCTTGTACACTTTTCTATGTTTATTTAACAAAATTTAGTAGCATTACTTTAAACACTTAAATAAATTTAATTCAAAAAGATATCTTTGAAGGATTATTTTTTAATTAACTTCTTCGGGGAATTATAGCACAAATCCCAGGTCGGCTTCCCTAAGAATGATTTATGAAGTAATAGGAAACAGTTCAAGGCAATATATAAATCAAAAAAGGAACCTTGTTCGTTTTACTTTGTATTTACTTAATACCATTTTATGAGATATTCCATCTTCAAGCATAAAAACGTCCTTTTGTTAGTAGGTGTAGAAACCAATTTAGCGTTTCATTTCATTTAAATCCCTTCTATTTTACTTTCAACTTCATTTCTGAGAAATACATCTTGTAAGGATTAATTCAATTTTCTGGATTTTCCAGATTAGCTTGTGTATGCACGGTCAACCCTCTATAGAAGATCTGTAACCCAGACATTTTCTGTAAATCGTCATATTCTCTTTTACGAGAAAAGGGGTGGTTTATCTGACAATCAATTTGAACGGTTTGGAAAGGCTGTCAAGACTTGATAACCTTGAGAACACTTCAACAGACCCATTGAATTCTATCAGAGAGTAAATGAATTAAAATGTTTTACACAAAGATTTAAGGCAGCAATGGAAATGAAAATTATAATACTCCGCGCTCATAACAATTTAAAAAAAGATCTTTTTGTACAATTGTCCTATTGGAAAGATAATCTTTTATAGTGTGTGTTTCTGTGTGTGTGTTGGGGGATATACGTATACACAATATATTATGAAAAATTCAAATTTATCACCTTTTAATTAGGATATATGTATAAGATGAAAGAGAATATATACCCATTAAGTACCCATGCATAGATTTCAGAATGAGGAAAGCTTTTTCAGATGAAAGGTATATAAATGTTATGGAATATTTACGTAGGGGATCGAAGAATGATTCAAAATGCTAAAAAGGTGTTAACATTCCTTTTTCTAATCTACTAGCTCAAGGTTGTAATTCTAGATCACAGATGACATATAATACCTTAGAATTGGTTAAAGACGTACTTCGAAATAAATAAAGGTCTATACACGGTACTTAATTGCATGAAAGTCAACTTAAGGTCAAGAATAATAATGAGAACTTGTGTACCGGTACATGGAAAAGAAGAAGAGAATACTCGGGATCGTTTTACATCCTTTTGTTTAGGTAACCCTGCACTGCTGCTTGATCATAGTGTCTTTGGAGAAAATGGGAAGCACCCCTCTTTATAGACCCAAAAGCAACCCCAAAAATAACGGTTCTTTAATTATATATCTTTCAATCTTCGAATTGTTCTCTGAAAAGCAAAAGATTTCATTGAAAATTTTTTGGGGAAAAAAGCCTTGGTCTTTAAACATGATGAGTTCAAATGCACTCGTTGTAAGAACACATGTACGAAAGTTTTGAAAATTGCTACTTTAGTTTTATAGACTTAACAATTTGATGTCAAGCATAACTTACTTCTTTTTCTGTTCAAGATATAAAGCAAAAAGTCTATTTTCCATTCTTAAAAGGTGTAAAACTAATTTGTAAATGATCTTAGTTAATCTATACTTGACATACCCTTGCATATAATGAAACAGAGGCCAACGGGCCACAATGCGTACCTGAGGAACACTACTCCTACTAATGTTCAGATTTTTAACAAATTTATATTTTAAAAAGTTATTTGAGCTAGTACTGTAGCATAATAAAACACTGCAGAAAATATCAGAAGTATTTGTTAAATTTGCTGAAGCGATTATCAATAGGAGCGTAAATTGGTGCACTGGGGTGAGTTTGGGTGGATGGATGTGTATCACAATTCAGAATGGTAAATCTAGTTGTAGGCTTTACCCCGGCAACGGCATAACTCCTAAATGTGCTTTAAGCATTCTATATTTTACTGTAATTTCAATATCGAGGGCGGATGAAGCATAACAGGTCAGTTTAATTAAGCAATGAGTTCCTTGTTTAAAATGTTCCAATGCGAAATTGTTTTTAGCAATCGCATATTCTCGGATCTTAAGCTTTCCGGTAAGCTCTGAAAACTTATCCGAAGTAACCATAGTTTTCTCAGACCCGTTAAAGTAGATTTTTCTTTAAAGGGAGTTATTGACATGAGGCGAATTGTAAAAGCCCTAGTTCTATATATTCAAAATTATAGCCAAAGTTAGTTTATCATTTTAGTGAATCAAACTCAAAGGTCAAGGTCAAACGGTAAAAACATTTATACCCATTGAAATGTCTTGCCACAATGAAAATATATGATAATTTGCTTGAAAACTCTAGTACCAACTGTTTAGAAATTACTGACAAGGTTAATAATTGGTAATTTTTTCGAAGAATATATGTCAAACTCAAAAACCATTTACAAGAGGTCAAAATACCCCAAGAAAGGCCTTTTTAAAAGAAATATAGCTTTGAAATATGATATCCATAGTCTCACCCACTCAAAATTTATAAGCAAGGTTGTTGCGGTCAAACAAACAGGCAAACAGACAGACGAACAGGGCAAAAAACTATTAACCCCCGAAATACTGATTTCACAAGCATTAAAATTTGAAACTCAGTGTGCAAGAAAAAATTTGATGTGTTTATTTTTTCTTGAAAAAAAAACAACAAATCGTCAAAACCCAGTCATTTTTTTTAATAATGGCACCCAAATGAATAGTTTGTAAAACAAAAAAATACAATATATTGCCAAAGCCATTTTACACTGTCACATTTCTTGCTTATAATCCATTCTCTAGTTAATTCAAGATACGTCAGAGATTTTATTATGCAATGATGAAAAAAACCTACACTTATCACAATTTTTCAGTCAAGGTAAAAGAAAATGCACAGGTAGTAAGCCAAGAAAAATAATTCAAAAACCAACATATTGTATAATTGGCTTCGGATCTAAATATTTATTGTGGATTAAACAGACGGATGAGGGGTGAAAATATTAGTTTTATTTCCATATTCAACTATTTTTTTATTATCAGAAGAAAGTTATGTTTTAGGACATAAGTTAAAGAATTGTCAAAGCAGTCCAAATTTTTTTTTTTTGGGGGGGGGGGGGGGGGATGAAACGTACTGATGGTAATACATGTATATAAATGAAATTTTATCAAATGCTGCCTTTTTATCTTTTTGTTGAAAGATGTAAAGGTAAAATACTTTCATTTTCACAACGAAGTAGTTGTAACAATTCAGTTTACAAGACAACATCAAACGCTGATATACATCTGTTTGTTTTAACATTTCAGTGTTATTTCGAGGTCGCACATCGTCAAATCTATAGGTTTGATAAATATCTTTAAAAAATATTATAATAAATCTAAATACTTTCCTTAATAGTCTATATATTTAGAAGAACTACATCATTTGAGAAAACCAGTCTATCTAAAGATTACATGATTTTTTATACACATTTTTACTGTTACACGTATACAATTTGATTATTTCAAGTTTACATTTTGATTATTGCACATGATATACATTTGACAGTCTATAGCTCCTCGCATCGTTGAACATGCACCCACATAATTGAATATTCTTTTGTTCACAATGTCACTAAGAAAAAGAAGATAAACCATATATTATTTTTTTATTCAAACGTTTGAATACCGTTTAGCGGGTTATTTTAGCGGGGTGCTAATTTTGGTTCATTTTGGCTTTTTGGTGGTAGCCCGCTAAATGTTCATCTGCAAAGAGTTGAAACCCTGTATCCGCTAAAATAAACTACGCCAGAATTATTGGCATACCTTAGAGCACCCAAATAGCCAAATTTTACACCGCCAAGAAAACCCGCTATACGGTAGGATATTCTGTTTATAATCAATAACTGAATCTCCGATTTAATTAAATATGATTATTTTATACAGATTGAAGTGCATCTCTGTCTAGAATTTTAGTCTGAGTAGATAATATATATCAAGAAAGATAATTTTCTCAAAATGATTCAAGAATACATTGTAAACACATAAGTACGTATATCTTTATTTCAAAGTTTTAATCGAAATGGAATATTCAAACAATTAATCAATCTTTAATTGTAGCCCATTTTAGAACATGCACATTATTTTACTAGAAATTATACCGTTGCAATCATTTAGTGTACCTTTTTTGGGGGAAACGAGTCGATAATCATTATAGAATTATTCTGAGAAAAGGTTTATTAGAAGAAAAGTTTCATTGTAAATCAGATTTTGATTTGAGTATTAAAACGTCAAATTTATACACGGCAAGGCAAAGTAATAGTTTTTATAAAGTAAACTTCAGTTCTGGGTTCCGGTATCATTTTTAAAAAAAAATAAAACCAATCTATTTACAAGCTTCTATAAGAGATAGTGATATTGACGCTTACACTGAAAATTTTAGCTCAGCTTGACTTCATTTATTGATTCAATATCGAATAAAAACGTTCCTCTTGCAAAATGATAGTTTACTAATTCTTTAAGTCACTCTTACAGAAGTGGAAATTATTTGCTTTTTTCCATAGAAAGTTAATTCAAATCTCAAATCAATTTTTAAACAAGCAAACAAAACCTTCCAGTTCTTAATACCCAATGAGAGAGATCATTATCCTGTTTCTTTTGACAAATTGATATTTACATAATCTTGTTTTTAAAAAGATAGATGTCATTATTTAAGACTGAGTTCAATAGTATTTTCTTATATTCAGTATAAAATACATGGCGACAATGTTATTTCGAGTTGATCAATACATAGTTTAGGGTGAATTGTCAAATATGAAAATGTTTAATAATGCTCGATAAACATCAGTAAAATATGCAAACTTAGCTTACCTCAGTACTTAATGGTTTGGTTCTAATTTCTGGCCTTTTGATTTCAAACTGAAATAAATTGTAGGGATAAATATTCAGAAAACTAGAATTCTAATAACATAAGAATTAAACAACTCACAATAAATCATATATACCTTCTCATTTTTATCCTTTATTTTTTTTTTAGTTCTATTTTTTTTAATTCCTCATTTTTTTTCATCACATTATGTGAAATTCATTTTACTCATATGCAAATTACAATAAACATTATTTTTTTTACTACTTAATTGAGGATGTCTCAATCAATAAAGCATTTAACTTTGCTGTTCTTGAAAAGAAGATTTTAAAGATTTTTTGAAGATTTTTAAAATATATTACTTTGTTGAAAAAAATGATCCTCCATTGTGGCAACTCCCTATCATCAGGGTAATGATTTGAACAAATTTCATTCATCACTACATGAGGATGCTTACATGTCAATAAGACTAAACATAGCATTTCTGTTTTTCCACTCTGATTTCTCATGTGAAACTTCCCCAAATGTGGCCTTATCTTGACCCCGGAGGACATGATTTTAACAAATCTGAATCCCAACCACCTGAGAATTCTTCCTTTTATGTTTGTACATTTGTATGTTGTTTAACGTCCCTCTCGGGAATTTCTCACTCATATGGAGAAGCCATCTCTTGCCATGGAGAGCTGCAAATTTTGTCCTATACCCGGCGATTTCGGCCATTGAGCAGCGAGGGATATTTTTTGTGCCAGCACCCCCTGTGACGCATCGGACCTCAGTTTATACGGTCTCATCTGAAGGACAGGTTTCCACATCCCACAGTGGTATTCAAAACCGCGACGTAAGGATCAACCTCTTCTAGTGACTCTGAATAACCGCTCACCACTGCGTCACGCGAGCAACTACTTCCTCATTAAAGTCACATATCATAATTCTGATGTTTTTCAAAAGATTTTTGAAGATATTTTTTCCTATATATTCTTATGTAAAACTTTCATGCCCCATTGTGGCCCAATCCTACCCCGGGGGTTTTAATTTGAACAAACTTGAATGTACACTACCTGAGGATCTTCCATATGAATATCCTTTGCTATTCTTGCGAAAAAGATTTTTAAAGATGTTTTTCCTAAATATATGTGAAGCTTTGTTTGCCCATTATGGCACGATCCTACCCCTAGGGGTCATGATTTGAACATATTTCAATTTACACTACCTTATGTTGCTTCCATATAAATATCTCCAATCATTGCTTTGCTGTTCTTGAAAAGAAGATCTTTAAAGATTTTTTCTATATTTTGCTACATAAAGTTTTGATTGGCCATAATGATCCCACACAAACCCTGGGGGTTATGAATAGAACAAACTTTAATCTACATTAAATAACATGTATGTCAAGTGGCTGTCAAGTTTTATCTTTTCTAGGCCACTTGTTCTTGAGGGGATTTTTATAAACATCCACCCAATTTTTCACTGTTTCCAAGTTATTTCCCATTGGAAGAAGGTGTGTCCCTTCATTTGAACACCCACTTTCTTTTTACAAAAGAATACTCTGTTCCAAGTTTGGTTGTAATTGACCCAGTGGTTCTTGAAAATGTGAAAAGTTTTCGACAACAACACTGACGACAGAGAACGGAGAAATTTTAATCAGATAAGCTCACTTGGGCCTTCGAAATTCGGCTCAGGTGAGCTATTTCTGAAAAAATAAGGTTTTTATAAATTTCACATGATCATTGTTATATGTAAAACGAAGTCATTGCACTCACTTTCACGTTTGGTTTTAAAGCCTGGTACATAAAATCCCATGAGAAATTAGACTGAACACGATCATTGTAAACTGTCAAAAAGACGACATAAGATTATAGATGTACAGTGTATACTGATGAAAGTCGTACCATTTTTATCAAATACGTTTAATAAGATTACACTCTTTTTTTAAATCCAGAACATAATCATTTTTAATTTTCATTTTCATACTTAAAATCGATGCTATTCTTTTCATAGAATTAAACAAAAAATGGAGCTGCAATAAATCAGTCTTATCACGTAGCATCATAAACTCATAACGTGCAAATATGTCGAGAAAATTACTTCCGTTTAAAGTTAAAATATATGACAAAGTTTTTAATAGCAAAAATCTTAAGTTGGATGTTAAATAAAATAACTGAAAGTTGTACCATAGGACTGGCGGTAAATTCAGATTTTACTTTGATGTTGTTGTGGTGTATTTGCCAGAAGAACCACAGTTTTTAAGTCACGCCCATAATTTGGCATCAAGCCATAATGTGACAAAACCTTGACTGATGAATGATTGGAGTAAATTTCAAAACTTTGGCAATAGCTGATAAATGAGTTTTGTTAACATTTTAAATTTCAAGAATACTAACATTAATTTGTCGATTATCACTCGGTATTTTTACAAAGCGTATCCTGTTACATTAACGTTCTATCTCGAAATGTCTTCATTCTTATTCTTGTCTCCATATAGTAATCTCACATAAAAGGTCCCCGTTTTTTTTATTGCAGTACCATTCAAACTTTTATTAAAATGTCAGAAATCATTTCGGATTTTTGTACATTGATCGTTATAGAAAAGTTCAATCGGCCTTGTTTTCCTTCGAACCCCCCCCCCCTCAAAATAAATAAAATTGATCTTCGAAAGGAAAAACAGCTTTAAAATATAATAGCCTTTGATCGCTACCTCTGTTCCTGACAAAAATCAAGCCTTCTGTCTAAGCTGCAACATCTTCAGACGTACCCAATAATGATCATTCATTCCGAGTTTTTTTGATCGACGATACCCCAGACGCAGCATTCAAAATACAATCCGTTCAGATGGAGAACGGTATTTATACAGACTCCGGACCATGTCTTGACAGGATGAAGTGGGCGGTGCTAACTGTCAACCAGCTTTTCTCTCACTGGTCCTCTGGTACAAGTAACTTACACAATAGATATTAATTGGTTAATGGTAAATACACTCACAGTTTTTTAATTCACTCGGGGCTCCGCCCCTCGTGAATTAAAAACTGTGAGTGTATTTACCATTAACAAATTAATATCTATAGTGTAACTATAACTAAAAAAATTAAATATGAAATTAAGATAGAATATATTAGCGAAGGTATACGAACTGGGCGAAGTCCCTTCTCTAGTTAGTTCATCAAATTCATCTTTTCCTCCAAATGCAGTGGGATAACTGTGTTTAGGTGTGTAAGGCGATATCTGTCTTCCCCAACTATCAATCTTTGTGGGAATGCCAGAAGGAAAATAGGATCCTGGACCCCCGAATCTGTTTCTACCGAAAAAGGTTGATTTTGATTTTTGTTTATTATATATATCCAATACACTACTCGAATGCAAACATACTCAACACAACCTTACGAAAAATAAAAAAAATGGAAATTTATCCTTTCATAAAATGTGAGCACCACTTTTCAAGCATATCTGTTAAATTTTTGCTTTTTATTCTTAACGTCGCATACTTTAATCACTAAAGGCAATTAAATGCTTCACTTTTGATTAGGATGCTAGTCAATCAAGTTCTTTAAAGACATGTTTGTAAAGTTAATTTTCGACGGTGGTGCGCCAGAAATTGTCAAGTGAACATTTTTATAGCTGTACTATCGAGCACTGGTCGTTATCTTCATTTTTTACGTATATAAAAACTCAATACTTACTCAAAATAATCATCATTATCATAAGACGAGCTTGATGAATTTTCTTTATAGTGACGTCTTCTCAAGTAAACGATTACAATGGTGAAGATGAGAACTGCGATGAGGAAGAGGGGTATTCCAACTCCAAGACCGACAATCAGCTTAAATTCGTCATCTTTGTCATAAAAGAGATATCAATGATCAGTAATTAACCTTTTGTCTTTCTTTTAAAAATATAGAAGTTATCAGGGAAGATTATTTTTTGGCGGTCAAGTGAAAAAATGAAGAAATTTTTCTCCTCGGTGACAATAATTCCACCATTATATTTAATTGTTGTATCCAGAGGATTCTATACATTTCACAGTAATAAAAATTTTCTTCTTTAATGTATAAAAAAAAATCAAATGACATACAGCAAATATAATGAAAATAAAGACTGCTTTGAGGTTGATGACACCAGTGCAATTTATTTGTTTTGAACATTCTTTCAAGATATTTCTTATCAACATTTTAATATTAGTAAAGCTGTATTAAAACAGATTTCATAAAAATACTTACAATCATCCAAGATCTTTCTACAAATGTGCAAGGAAATTCATATTTTAGGTATTAATCTTTTGAAAAGCGTGTTATTTTGAAGATATGAATAATATACACTGTACATTAGATAATGGTAGATATGCCACTGAAGTATTTTTGACAAGAAATCGACACAAAAATACCTACGCACAATATACTTTGCTTCCACTATCAATGCATTGTTCACCAGATTTACAAGGATTGTTGACAACATACACATCACATCTTGTGGAGGACGATGTTATATCTAGAAACAGAAATACCATATAGCCAAGAAATAGAAATACCATGATAGAGCCAAGTTTGTAAACAACTAAAGGCAAAGAACACATGGAAAACATTTAAAACTCGCATTTGAACAACACTGGACAAAGCAGAGTAATTACATATTTTATTACATTTTTGTTGGCCTTAACAAGTTAGCATAATAATATGCAGGTAAAATTATACTGATAAATTGATATACGGATTTTAATATGTTTAAATTACAAAAGTATGAAATAAATTCAGTGGAATCAGACAGTAGGACAACCGTCTTCCTCAAATGTTCCTTATAAGAGTCTTTTAGATTCTTTCTTCAAAAGAAAGATTGATTAATAATATGTCACATGTCGGCACAAGAATGTGCAAGAGAAGTTAACATGGTTCAAGCTGGGTGTAATTTACGTAAGGTTTGTTTTCTTTAACTATATCTGTTTATTTTGCTTACAGCCTTTAAAAATGCCGTTCGAAAGACCATCATGGTTTCTTGAATTATTTTCAATAATTAAGGGTCCTAGATTTTTAACAGAGACCAGAAATCATCATATGGTTTATTCGGAAAATCACTGGATTGGAACCGGAAGTATGGACCTTCTACGCTACATTGCCAAGAAGAAGTGTAACGACACATCAAAGGGACTACAACCTAAGAATCACTCACCATAGTGAAAGAAACGTAACTGCAAGTACAATGAACTGAGTGGAGAATGCATATAAGAAAACGTCATGTTCCGTAGGTTTAATATTGTCGGCAAGGCACTAACAATTTCTGTTACCCCCCCCCCCCCCCGATTTGTATAAAAATATGTAGATAGTAAGCTTCACAACAATTTTAATGATCTTTAAATCAGAAGCATTGTATCGTAAGATGTAAATACATGCAGATTTTATTGTCTATAGTTAAATTTGTTGCATTCTTTTATTTTTGTTTTATAACATTGTATATGAAGAAAGAGCCAATAAAAATGTAATTAGCTAGTTCATTTAATACCCATGAACAGAAAGAAAGATTTTCAGAAAAACAATGCATTTTCACTAAATAATTAATAAAGACCCGCCCTAACACCAAAACCCCAACCAAGAGGTCATGAAATTCAACCTTTTGGAAGGGGCCCGCTTTGCTCACCATAGCAATATACTAAGTACATGTAAGTTTGTTTTATACCTCGGAGTGAAAAGAGAGACTTGGTCAAGAATTTCACTATATAATCATTAAAGCCCACCCTAACACCAGAACCCCTTCCCCAAGGGCCATAAAATTCCTAATTTGGGAAGAGGCAGCCTGATTCAAAATAACTACAATGTACATGTATATAGTTAGGGCACTCAATACCTAGGAGCAGCGGAGATTTTCAAAGAAATTATGTACTTTTATCTATATCATCTATATTGCCCAACCCTAGCACCAGAAACCCTGACCCCAGGGCCATAAATTTCACAATTTTGGTAGAGTGCTCAATGAATGTTTCATTCATGCCAATAGATTGACTTCTTAATGTTCAAGAAAAAAGAAGATTTTTTAAGATCGCATTAATTTTGATGGTTTTAGCGCTACCTTTATTGCTCTATATATCACCAAGTCAAGTTTTGTTCAGAAAAAAATACAAACTTTTATAATTTCCCTTTCCGTCATCCACAGCTACCGAGTCAGTAGAAAGGTTTCCATTATTGTACTCTACTGTATCCTCTCCCTTTGACAGACTAACGACTGTCTGAGCGATGTCTTTCTCAGTATCATCGGTTTTCTTTGCTACAATATCGTGTTCCACAATCGTACTCCCTTTCCTTTTTGTGAAAAGATAAAAACTATTACTCAAATTAAATAAGCAGTTGGCAAAGCTTTTGGTATTTATATTACGTAGCCTTATACACAGTGACCAGTTTTTTTTAATTGATCGAGGTATCAAAAAGGGTTCTCGCATCTGCTTTCGGTCGGAGTCCCTTAGAGTTGGGTTTACTCATTGTACAGCTGTAAAGCCTATAGAGACTAAAAAGATTATAAATGATTGCTAACACATTACCTTATTAATCGGATAATAACTTTCAAAAATCCTTTGATTTTCGTGCTGTAGAAATTCGAAAGCTGCAAAGGAAAAAAATGATTATGTAATCTGAATACGCTGTATACGTGTAAGTTCTAGTTAAACATTGTAAATGATTTTTGAGAAGGTAAGCATTCTCAAACGATTGTATTGATATAAATACGATGCATGAAGAAATCCAATAAAGCCCGAGTCAATGGGCTTAATGGTACCCTCGATAACGTACCAACTTGAGTTCGTTTTAAAAATGTTAAAGACACATTGCATATATTCTCATTTGCGATTGGTTTGAACGAATATTGGCATAATAATAATTATAATTTGACAATATTAAATGTTTGATTTTATCTAATTCAAATTTCAACTGTATGGAATAAATGCGTTAAACATGTAAACCATGTACGATATCACAGTGAAATTACATAAATTAATTCATTTGTGGAACTGTGACTAATCCGTTCATTATAATTAGAGGCTTAAATTCGAAATGTAAAAAGAAAAAAAAAATTCTAATAATAATTTAAAAATATTTGAAAATGTAAATTTTGTATAGAATGCAAACTGTAGAAATATAATTAGCGAACAATGATCATTTTCAATTCTAAAATAATTCTAAATAAAAATAATTATAGTTTACATAAATTGTACTCACTGCTGTTTCCATAGTTTGTTTAACTTCATCATAATTACTCAAATCTATATTTTCATTAAAAGTTAAAACAACTCCTAGTTTGACCTCATTCTCCTCTGTAAAAAATATTGTAAATTATACTTACAAATTAAAAAAAAATGGAATAATCAATTTCTATGAAAATAATAATGTATAAATCAAAACTTTACCTGGAACGTAGGGCTCAACTTTTTCTGAAAAGAAAATGGGATGAAGTGTATGTAAAATTAAGAGATGCAACTTAATTATAATCCATACAAAGAAAAAAGGAAAACGTAGGACCCTTTTAACCCCTTGGTTTTCTTAATCATCAGAACTGCACAGTTTTCGTTAACATTTCAATTTTAAATTTGTCTTGAAATCTTCTTTACATCATATTCATGAAAAATGACTTATTTTTCTCGCTAGTCAATGTTTTATGACGTCAATGTTTTCACGTCAAATAATTTTTCTTGAATAAAGCATCTTTAACTTGGGTCATAATTTCTGGAGTACCATGTGTAACATTCTGCTTACTTTCAGTTGTACTTGCTGTACTCTGTGATGTTGGTGCTGGCCTTTGTGTAGTACTTGCTGTACTCTGTGTCGTTGCCACTGGACTTTGTGTAGTACTTGCTGTACTCTGTGTCGTTGTCACAGGACTTTGTGTAGTACTTGCTGTACTCTGTGTCGTTGCCACAGGACTTTGTGTAGTACTTGCTGTACTCTGTGTCGTTGCTACTGGACTTTGTGTAGTACTTGCTGTACTTTGTGTTGTTGCCACTGGAATTTGAGTAGGACTTTCTGTAATCTGTGTTGTTGATACTGGGATTTCAGTAGTACTCTCTGTACTCAGTGTTGTTGACAGTGAGCTTTGAGTAGGACGTTCTGTACTCAGTGTTGTTGGCACTGGACTTTGAGTAGGACTTTCTGTACTTTGTAGTGTTGGCACTGAGCTTTGAGCAGGACTTTCTGTACTTTGTAGTGTTGGCACTGAGCTTTGAGTAGGACTTTCTGTGCTTTGTAGTGTTGGCACTGAGCTTTGAGTAGGACTTTCTGTGCTTTGTAGTGTTGGCACTGAGCTTTGAGTAGGACTTTCTGTACTTTGTGTTGTTGGCGCTGGACTTTGCGTCGGACTTTCTGTACTCTCTGTTGTTAGCACTGAGCTTTGAGTAGGACTTTCTGTACTCTGTGTTGTTAGTACTGAGCTTTGAGTAGGACTTTCTGTACTCTGTGTTGTTGGCGCTTGGCTTTGTATTGTAGAGGTTGAGCTCTCGGGCGGCGTTTCAGATCTCTGTGTACTTTCTGTTGTTACTTGAGTTGTTGATATTGCTGATAAAGATGTGAAATTTTAATTTATTTTCATACAATATAAACATCTTGTTAATTTTTCAACATTTTTTTGCTCTTATTACATTTTCAGTAAAATGCACATACAGTGGTATTCATAGTTAAATGTGTATTTAACTAATATATTATGATAAAAAAAATCCTTTTGATGAAAGTTAAATGAATCGAAAAAATATACAACTATTAATATTAGATTGTATTACATACTGTAAATCACCAAATTTTCGCAACGCTCTATTTTCACCAGATGTTTATATATACAATTTAAAGAAAAACAAATTTTAACGACTTCTGGTTATCCTTTATAATCTTAAAAAATTTGAATAAGATTTTCGCAAGCAGGCATTCGTGTGTAACTAGGCAAAATTAAGTTTTTATGGGAAAACAGTGATTCAAAGTAAACTCGATAAACGAGGTACCTAGTATATAAATCCTTTTTTTTTAAATATAAGAAATATTTTATATTTTTATACTGTTTGTTTTTTTTCCAAAAAATTTATGTTTTTACAATTCTTTAAATTGCAAAAACAAACGTTAACTGATATGATTGCATAAAACAAACTTTTTGATTTCGTTTAAAATATCTTCATGAAAGATAACTGGAACCAATTCTTGTAAGGTGATCATTACATATGCCCTTACTCCATTTAGGCGCCCATATTCTATAGGATCATTTTATTTGGTAAACTTATATACTTTATTTTTCATTCAATTATTTGCCTTTTTTGGATAAGGGCCCATATATAACAAAAGTGCTACAAGCCAATCAGATTTCAGTTCACGTATATGCGCGTGATTTCAAAAATGCCTGTGTAACATCTCGTTGTATCTGGTAACATACATGTACATTTTGGATTTCAAGAAATTTTACGGTAAACGTAGAATGTCATAGTAAGGGGGTTTTATAGCAAATAAAACACATGGAACAAAATTTTAAGGGAATGTATTTTACTGACGTGTACATGAAGAACCATTCCCAATAAATCCAGTATTACAGGCACAACTGAAGCTTCCAAGTGAGTTGGTGCAATTTGCATTTGTAGCACAGTTGTCCGTCCCTATTACACATTCATTTATATCTGAAAAAAGAACTTCCAAATAAAAGTCGAACTAGGAAAATAAAAAAATTCAGTACTTATAATCAATTTAATGACAAAAACTCCATCAATTATTCGTTCAACAAAGGCGATTATATATACTTGCATGCTGCACGATGGACTTATATTTTGATTATCTAATACAATAACTAAATGGGCGGGGATTATGAAAATTAACAAGGGAGGCCTCGTGTATTTTAATTTCTTTAAAATTTACATTTACCATTTATTTCACATACTAAATGTAAATATAAGGATTTCGTAAAGCAAATTATCCCAAATTCCAAACTATCCTTGGTGCACTTGCATATCCAACAAATTAAGCAGTGATTCCTCAAGTTGATTAGAAGAGTTTAATGGAATATGCTCAAATAGACTTTTATTATCCTCCATGGGGTAGTTTGAGAAGGGAAGGAAAATGAGTATATTTAAAAACAAAATTGTCATGAAATTACTCTAGCTCTTCACAGGGCGTGCCTTAGGTTAAACAACTTGTTGATGCTAGTTGCAGTTTTGAACACATTTTGTAAGCAATCATTGTAAATTAAAATCTCCTAGAATGTTGATGTATTGCATACATGAATTTCAATTTACATTGCTTTTTTTTTTATCCCAGTGACCTAAGTTGGTTAAATTACCATTCGTTCAGGAAAAGGACATCCTAAATTCACTTTTTTCTACCTGCATCTGTTTTAATCTGTATTATCAAGTTATGACAAGAACAAGAATTTAACACCGTTTATATCAGTAATTGTGAGTTTGTTTAAAACTTAACTTACATTAAAAAAAAATATTTTAGAACATAATCAAATTTGGCTTTAAAAATTCTTAGGCTTCCAGGTCTGGAAGTAGGGTAGACTGTACAAGAAGAGGCATAAAAAAGATACATTACTCTTATTCTAATGCAAAGTGCGCACACCTCATCTCTCAAAAAGAAAAATGGGTCAAGATGGATCAAGATGTTTTGTTTACATAATTGAAAACTGTTTGTTACACAATGTAAATAGTAATATAATAAACAACATCAAATTGAACTTTATCACATGAAAAGTTCGTTTAATACTTCTTAATATTTAAGGTATCCGATCCACAAATTTAAAGGCTATATTTTTCTAACATTAAGTATCCATCCTGTATTAAATACTCTGAAACTAATTCAAAACACTGTAGAGTAGCAAAGGAATCACAAGGAGAAATTTTCAAAAGTATAATTACCCGAGCAGTAATTTATTAATTAAGAATGCATTGAGTTCAATGGGAACCATTTAATTTTTTAAAAATGAAAATTCAAATATTATGAATAACAAAAAATGCAAGGGTGGAAAGATTTATATAATTATTAAAAATTAAAAAAACAATATAAAAATACTTTTTCACCAGATTAATAAAAATGAATTTTAATGATTAAAAGCAAAAGGGGATAACTCTTCAAGGACGGGTCAAGGTCAAAAATTAGAACACATTCAATTCTTACATACATGTATTGAGACTAAAACATGGAGATTATGTCTACATATACTGAGTATATCTGTTATGCATTTATTGTTTTGGTTATTATAGGTCGGATACCTTAATATATAGTATAATTTTTCCAAGCAGATAATATTATCATGTGTGTAAGGGATTATACCTTCACAGGTTCCATTAGCGTTCTTTTTGAATCCAGGATTACAATTACAAACGTATGAACCAGGAACTTCGGAACAGTAGGAATTTGCTCCACACATATTTAGGTTAATATCGTCACATTCTTTGATGTCTTCTGTACAGTTGACACCTATCCATCCATCGTTACAGTAACAAGTCCCGTTTTGCTTGTCACATGACCTTGAATTAGTAATGTCACATGTGCATTGATTGGCACAATCTTGACCAAACGTGGTACCAGAGCACTCTAAATAAGTAAGAGATTAAAAATTGTTATTGCAATTACAGTCCACTTAAACAGGCGAAGAAATAAGATATAAAAATTCATACCACTTTGTGTAAAATAATAGTCATGTTTACCAGGTAATTAAAAAACTCTTTAACCCCCCATCCCATCCCATCTTCGATAGCCCAGGGTTTCTGATACGCTACACTCCTCATCAACCCTTGGCCTACGGTGCTCATAGAAATCGGGATTTTTTCCCAGAGTTCTGATTGGATTTCAGTACACCCAGGTCGACCAATCAGCAATTGTTTTTTGTAAATGACGATATTTGCGTTCGGGATACATCTTCACTCTTTAATCTCGGAAAAGAAAACGCAAGTAAACAACGATCCGTAAGATAACATTCAATTCTATGAATAGCCATGGTGTCGTCCAATATCTTCTACATATGTGATTAAGAATCTATATTGAAGCTTCAGAGATTTGTTCTATAAATAATGAATAAACATAACTCAATTATTGTTTCTTAATTATTCTTGAAAAAACTTTGATTTAATTTTTTTTAACACATGTCTTTATTTCTGGCGATGACGCAATCTGTGCGTATCTGATAGATTCGAGATCACGTGACGGAAAACAATCCCGTCTTTTGACTTCACCGTATGTCAAGGGTTTATGAGGAGAGGAGCGTATCAGAAACCCTTGGCTAGCAAAGATGATCCCGTCCAAAAATTATAAAAAGGATTTTCATTTAAGATTTATTTTCAATTTACATACCAACACACTTTTCATTGGCAAACGCATAACCAGGATTGCAAATACAAGAATAAGATCCATTATTGTTCAGGCACTCCGAGTTAGTAGGACAAACCGTTATATTTTGACATTCATCGATATCATTGTTGCATGTGAGTCCCTCCCATCCTGATTTACAGACACAGTTTCCAGACACTTTATCACAGGATAAAGTGTTATGGGTGTCGCACGTACAAGTTGAAGCACACTCAGGACCATACTTTCCATCCTCACAGTCTGGAACAACAGAAGCATATAGGTCACAAATATCATATGAGTCACCTTATATAATAGGTTGTCTACTTTAGAAAAATTTCACAGCCAAGAATGCTTCTTTGTTCAAGTTAGTTCAGAAAAAAATGAATGAAAAGTTATCAAGCGCTTTAAGTATAAGTCACATTATCCAGCGATGGGGTATACGATGAGAAACCGATGCGTTTTTTGATGAAAATGGCGTGGTTGCCGGCCGGGCACCACTAGTGATCGGACAGTGACTGAGACCATTTTGCGAATCGGTGGGGTCATCGGTAGGAAATAATTCGTAGTTAAAATTCAGCGATGTCTCCAACGATGCCTCACGTCGCTCCTCATCGGCAACCCATCATTAAAACATCTTTCAAGGATCGGCCGATGTATGACCGAGCATCTGTTGAATCTGAGATCATCGGGGGGTTGAGTGGTGTTCAACAGATAACGGTCGATCATCGGTCGATGTTCGACCAAACATTGGCCGGTAGTCGACCGATGTACGAACGATGTTCACCAATGTATGAGCGATGTAATATACATCGGACGATTATCCTGGAACATCGTTTTATGATTAGCGATGCGTCACTATGCCATTGTAATTCCGGCCGGCAACCATGCCACTTTTATCTTGAAACGCATTGGTTGCCGATCGTATACCCATCGCTGTATAATGTGACTGATACTTTAAAGACTACTAGGCCGATGTGAACCGATGTTGTAGCATCGTTAACACATGCATGTCCAAGAACGAATTCGATGTCGATATCGACGATATCGACAATATTATGTCAATATCGTATCGATATCGATCGTCATGAGCACTATTAATTGGAAATATCTTGTGGCATATTTGAGACTCTATATTATGTCGATGTCGTCGATATCAACAATATCATGACGATATCGTATCGATATCGATCCTATTTGCACAATTTGTTTTCATAATGAGGTATAACATAATTTTTCAAAGTCACAAGTGAATCAAAATTGATTCATAATTGGCATGAATATGAAAATAAATTATGATTAAGACAGTATTAGGGTTGTTATTGTTTTAGATTAGATTTAGAGTAAGGTGTTTGGTTAGGGTGACGAATCTTGAAAATATTTCAACAATCATGATTCGATATCGATACGATATCGTCGATATCGACGATATCGACAGTAAGGTAAACTTATTAAACACAGAAGTGATGTAAAAATAAAGTTTTTGTATTATGGTAAAGGTTGGTAAAGTAATATGCTTTTAACAATCATGATTCGATATCGATACGATATCGTCGATATCGACGATATCGACGGCAGGTAAAATCTCCGTAAAAGTAAAGTAAATAAACATAAACACATTCAAAGTAACAGGGAAGGTATTTACCAAGGGCTTTACAAACATGATTCGATATCGAAACGATATCGTCGATATCGACGATATCGACACTTCAGGGAAAGATTTATAAAAAAAAGTTTAAGTAAAAGTTGTAAAACACAAAATATTAAGGATGGAAACCACAATTCTTGGAACAATCATGATTTGATATCGGCACGATATCGAGGATATTGACAGTACCAGGAAGTCATGTAATAAACACACGAGAATAGAGAAATATTATAGAAACTATAAAAAAGTAATGTGTCGATATCGTAACTACATCGTGTCTTGGACATAACTCCGTTAACACCACGGATTACCACCGATTACCACCGGTCTACGGCTACCGGCCGGGAAATGTGACCTAGGCATTAGCTGGAGTAATGGCTACAGACATTGAATGTTAGAGGGTCATCCAAAAAGTCCGTAGACCTTTGTTATAGCTATTTTTTTATTTAACGCGATACTGCAACCAAATTTGGTACACATTTTAACAACAGATTCAAAAATATAAATATAGAAAAGAAATGGAATATATCTTGATGTTGATTAAAAGTATCAAAGATTTAAATGGGGTTACGGAGCAGGGTCATAATTGCATTATTTACTCATTATACACTTTATAATGTTTATAGCTACACCTCTAATAATAGCGCTTGGACAACATATATATTAAATGTTTAAATTAAGTATTTTTAATTACTTCAGATGCATAAAGGTAATATGATACATCACTTTGTTTTAAAGATATAGATTTCTAAAAAGAGAAAGACTCGATTTTTAGCTCACCTGAGCCGAAGGCTCAAGAGAGATTTTCTAATAAAAATTTGTCCGTTGTCTGTCGTCGTTGTCGTCGTCGTCGTTAACTTTTCACACTTTCATCTTTTTTCAAGAACCACTATGCCAATTTCAATCAAACTTGCCACAAAGTATCCTTTGATGAAGGGGTCCAAAGGAAGCCAAATTTGTCCAAAAGGACCATGCCCTCTTCCAAGGGGAGATAATTATGAATTAGCGAAAAATCAATGGTATCTTTTAAAAATCTTTTCAAAAACCACTGGGCTAGGAATAATGAAACTCATGTGGAAGCATCCTCAGGTAGTGAAGCTTCAAATTTGTTCAAATCATGACCCCCGGGGGTAGGGCGGGACCGCAATGGCTGATCAAATTTTTACATAGGAATAAATAGGAAAAATCTTTAAAAATCTTCTCAAGAACAGCAAAGCCATGATTGGTGATATTTATATGAAAGCATCCTCAGGTCGTGCAGATTCAATTTTTTTCAAAACATGACCCCCGGGGGTAAGGTGGGGCCACAACAGATAATCAAATTTTTTCATAGGAATACATGTATATAGGAAAAATGTTTTTTTTTTTTAATTTTCTCAAGAACAGTGAAGTCATTATTTGTCATATTTATATAGAAGCATCTGCAGGTGGTGTAGATTCATGTTTGTAAAATCATAACTCTCGGGGATAGGCTGGGGCCACAATGGACGATCAAGGGTTTACATAAGAATTTATAGGAAAAAAAATTTCAAAAATCTTCTTCTCAAGAACATCAAAGCCATGGTTGGTCTTATCTATATTGAAGCATCCACAGCTAGTTTAGATTCAAGTTTGTTCAAAATATTGACCCTCTGGGTAGGGTGGAGCCACAATGAATGATCAAAGTTTAATATACGAAAACTTCTTCTCAAGTTTCTTCGTCTCGGTTTTGGGGGTAGTAAGGTGGGGATTTAAGAGAAGGCAGGGCAAATAACTCGCTCATCACATGACTGTTTTGCGTTAACGTCATCTTCACGGTTGATTGAAAACCATTCCAGGCCCTCTCTAACAACGGGTAACAAGTTTTATTGGGAAAAATTTACAAGAAACTGCTTAGTTACGCGTTGTTGACTTTTTCATTAATTAGGCGATTCGAAAACCAGACCCCATGGAACTTCCGTAAATTGTACCAAGATTGCAAGAAAATCATATCGTCTCTAAATATTGAAAAACAATGTGTATACCTCAGGTGCATCAAATGATGAAACAAGATTTGTTGACAAACTCGTCGTCATCAAATTGCACTTGTTTTGGTCTTTTTGTTCCCCTATGTGACGTCATAAATTTTACGGTTGAGTAATTATGAACACTAATTTTGGTGCATCGTAACAAAATTTCTCATCTGACCAATTTTTGTAAATTTTGGTCATGTAGTTTTAAAAATTTTCGAATATTATGCTACCCTGCGTTTCTTTTTCCTTTCAGTATATAAAAATGAGCCGTGCATTCGCATTTAAAGAACAGACAATTTTTTAATGGTAGAAACTTCAAATTGGACGTTGTAAGGTCTGAATAGAAACGGATTAATATTATAATCTTTTGTCAAAAGAGTTAGTGGTGTCATGAAATGTGTTGTGCACTTCACTGTTGCGGAACTTGTGAATGCATAATTATGCAGTGAAGAATATGAAATCAATGGCAATCAAACTTATCTTTAAGGTACTCAAATAATTGTAAGCAAACTAGATGGCAAGTTTTTTTATGAAAGGGGAAGTCGCTACAAAGACGCTATTAAAAGAGAAGGCAGAGTAAGTTTGAGCAATTTTCTCGACTTTGTTTTAGACGTTACAATAAGGATATGGAGATAACGAACAATATTCAAGCTCAAAGTCCATTAAACAATATACAAAATCAGAGCAGAGCAAACACGGACCTCCGAAACATCAGAGGTGGAATCAGGTGCCATGGAGGTGTGAGCATCCCCTGCCGACCGGTCACACCCGCCGTGTGCTCGTTGTCATGATCAATATTACATTATTAAACTGTTCTCCGTGGCGATAAAACATGTTGCTTTTAAAACTGGCGGACATAAGTTCCATTTAAGCAAATGGAATGAAACTTCATTCATCGATCAAATAAATGATTTTTACATTTAGAAATGTGTTGATCTTTAATTTTGTAAAAATAATATGATGAAGAAGAACATTACATATTTTTCGAATGACACTCGTAAAAACGATTGATTCTTTGACCTATGTGAACTAACAGTGCCAATTTCAACATAAAATTGTGATGATGCACATGGGATTTCTAGAAAAACAGTCAAATTACAGACAATTTGAATTTTACACAATCAATAATGTTCTCATCTTAATTACCAACACATGTCCTCTGGTCCACATCCAGTCTTTTTCCGTCAGCACAGGAACACAAATACCCCAAACCTGGAGACCTTTGGTTACAGGTCTCACTGCATGGATTAGGGGAACATTCGTCGATATCTACAAGAAAATCATTTAATACAATATCTTTTCTATGAATACAAGTTAATGAAGTTATTTGTCCAAAATCTGATTAAATTATCACTTTTTTAAAAAACATGTAACGACTCTTTCGTTTTAAATTTTTGACACTCTCAAACCACCTTCAATACAAATTACTCTCATTATATCCACATAGCTTTTTGATGTTGAGTGAATAAATCAAATATCGATGCATCTGATAAATGAAATAGTTTGCCATAACATTTGTGAAATTCATACCATCACAACGAATATTATCTGCATTTAAGGAGAAGCCCTTGTCACAGAAACAATACTCAGAACCATCGGGGTTGACTCCACATTGCTGTGTGCAGTTAAACGTACTATTTGTACACACGGTTTTTTCTACAAAAAGAAATTGTAAAAATGCTTTCTCTACACTTTTGTCTTGAACATGGAATTTTTTTAAATCAGAAAAAAAAATTATAAGCATTTTCTTACGAGAACATTTGGTTCGTGTCGTGGTGTCTAGGATGAATCCTGGGTTGCATGAACACTTGTAGCTTCCTATGATGTTGGTACAAACTTGATCACAAGGACTCACAGGGAGAGAACACTCGTCAAAATCCTCACACCTTGATGTATCAACCAATCTAAATCCATTCTTACAGCTACAGGAGTAACTTCCGGGAGTGTTCGAACACTCCTGACTACAAGGACTCGTATTGCATTCGTCGATATCTAAAATAATATGATTTCAATTCAGTTTTATTATTCTTAGTACTTGAAATATAGCTAAACTTATAATATACTTATAATATACTTATAATCACATTCAAAGGTTTTTCAAATTTATTATGTTCATTGGCCTTAGTTTGCACATTTTAAAAATTGTCCAAGTATTTAGAATCAGAAATCAATAGAAAAGGAAAAAAATGAATGCTCAAATCATAAAGAAATTTACCTAGACATGTCCCGGTCGTTGTATTCTTTTCGTAACCAGTTGCACAAACGCAGACGTATGATCCTGGAGCATTTTTGCATTCTACATTCATACCTGTACATGGACTTACTGACGCACACTCGTCTTTGTCAAAGTCACATTTTTCTCCAGTCCATCCATCAGAACATACACAACCTTTTACTTTGTCACAGCTTACAGAGCCAACCCCACAATTACAAGGTGTAGCACAATTTTCTCCATAGGTAAATCCATTACATTCTGCGAATGAAAATTAAATGTATCTGGCAGAAAGTTATTTATTAATTTACTGGAAAGTATTTCCCCTCTTAACCCCTTTCATGGCAAAGATTTCAAGCATTTCTAGAGAAATCAATATCAAGATTTTAAGGCACTTTTCTGGAATTTCTTGTAATCTTTGCATATATACCAATGTATATTCTAAAAGAAGGTATTGTGTAGTTTCTAAAAATGATTAGAAAAATATTATTCCCGTTGCCATGTCAACGAAATAAACAATTATATTGCTGGAATTTCTATTTATTGATGAATGAGTTTCATTTTGTCTATTTTGCTTAATTAACTATTTTCAAAAATTTTTGTTTGCCCCCAAAAATAACACGCGTATTACCACCATGTTTATTTCGATCACGGCAAATTGAATAGCACAATCCCTCAAATAGTGTGAGAAGTTTAACTTGAGCTAGAAAAAAAAAACTGGTTCAATCTATAGAAAAATTTTCTGTACAGTAATTTGTTGTAATTATTTTCCTTTTCTAACGGTGCAAGAATTAATCTGATATTTGCAGTATTAACGAAGTTATGAATGTTTGTTTACAATGTGGACGCTTTTCACGTCAGATGCGAAGAATGCATACATGTATATGCCATGAAATACTGAACCCTCAGCGAAAGGAATAATTCATTTTGCCATTCAATATCTAACTAAGGGTGTCCTTAAACTGATATATGCTATTTATTATAGACTAAAAATATGCGTTGTATGTATTAATAAAGCGTTTAATAAAAGAACAAGCAATAAGATACTATTTCATACTACAATTCGTATATGTGTACTTTCTTTTCTAAATATCTGAGTTTAATTTCCTTACTGCACATCTTCATGCATATGGTTCTTATTATTTACCTTGACATGTTCTACCATCATTTTCTAAACTATATCCTATTGGGCAGGAACAGGTATAAGAACCGTCAGTGTTGATGCATTTATCTTTGAAGGTACATTTGTTCAAGGAATTGTCATTGCACTCATCCACATCTAAACAAAAAATCACTTCAAATTAATTAATGTATTAGATCTTGCTTGAATGTAAAATGCAGACAAATATTTAAATTTAGGATGTAATTTTTGCTAAGATCAGATCATGAATCTGTTAGTTATAAGAAGATATTTCTCTTTATCAGATGAAATTGTTTTTCAGAAAACAATACAAATTAGGCTTCTATAGAACACATAATACACACCGAGACAGGATCTTTCGTCTTGGTTATTTAGTAGAAATCCAGCAGGACAGAAACAATATCCATTATCACCATCCTTTTTACATCCATATGTACAATTCAAAGATGGAAATAGCGAGCAGACGTCCTGCACTATTTTTAAGAAGACATGAAGAGGAAATAATAAATCAATGCAATTGTTACTTATTTATTTTTAAAGATGTTCAAAATGAAGTAAAAATGAATAGAAATTTTAATTCTTTAACTGTATTTGTTTTACCTTCTATACAGGCTTTTCTATCGTCATCTAATGTGTATCCAAATTCACATTCACAATTAAAGCCACCTTCTACATTTATACATCTTTGAGAACACCCATGGACCTCAGCCTCACATTCATCAAAATCTATTCAAATAAAACAAAAATTTGTGTTCAGTAAAGAAAGGAGGGAAATTTAAACACGTTATTATTATACTTATTTGGACTAGTACATAAATGTGTCCTGTCTCTTTTGAGGCGTATATGATGGGTAATATATTTTAAGATTTTTAGATGACGCAAGAAAGTAGAAATTTCATATCAGAAACGCTTCTTTAGAAACAGCACAATTCAAAACTGTGGTTTCATTTAGCTTAATGGTCTGGTTGGATAGAAGCATTTATATCGATTAGATTCTGTGTCAACATACTATTATAAAGGTCAGACGCAAACCACATAAATGTTGATTGTCTTGTTTTAAGTCCCGTTCGAAAAAATATTCACTCATAAAGATCATCGTGTACCAGTGGAGGACATCAAATTTAGATATTTTAACTTTACTCTCAGGGCTCTATGTCGTGTCAACGCCTGTTTTGACATGGGGCCTCGGTTTTAAGGTCTCATTGGAAGGACCATCAACTTTCCGTTCAAAGTGCCAAGCGTGAAGGAACAGTCGCTACATTTTATTTTGATCGAATTAGGTTAGTCTCGACGGAGGTTGGAACCCATGATCTCTCGATCGCCTAGCAATCGTATGACCGCTTTACCGAATGAGCTACCATGCCGGTCGGATACGCATATAGGTGTGAAAACAAAGTACTTAACGTTTTCTTTTAATTTGATAACAATACTTCCTTCTGAAAGACTTTTACATGTCTGGTTTGCAATCTTGTTCCTTGATAAAAATAGGTTAATTGAAATGGAAACATACATGTAAAGTACTATCCAATCGAACACACTGTGGGCGCAACTCGTACTACCAAATACCCAGTTTTATAAAATAAATTCAGTTAAAGAAAACTCATAAAATATGAGACAAATACGATATATATTGCTTACCTTCACATTCGTAAGGGTTCTTATTATTAAATCCAGTTTTACAAGTACAAGTGTACCCTCCAATGTTATTCGTACAGACAGACATCGTAGAAGAACAGTTATTAGAGGCAGCGTTATCGCATTCATCAATATCTGTGGAATAAGTAGAATTGGCAAACATAAGTCAGTTGTCATTAAATTTTTTCATATACTTAGCAGTCAATGAACAATTCGGAACGCAAAATATCTACTGCAAGTCTGATGCTTGTCATAATATGCTCATCTGCAAACTTTTTTTTTCTTAAATATATTCTGATTGTACAAACAAGTACTTCAGAAATTATGTTATGAAAAAGATATTTCAGTTTTTCATTGACAATGAATCCTTTGGAGACCAGGTCTTCCACCATATATGTTGGAATCTTCATACATGTAGCTACTTCTTCTGCCATTTCAGAAATTCCATATGAAAAAAAGAAGTTACTGTTGTCTTCAACTCGACATTTAATACTTCAATGAGTTTTATCAATTAACACTTTTCTTTTTGTATTCCTGCCTTGATTCGATATATATAATTGAATTCATAATTATAAATGAATACACACCAGATTCTGAAACACTTATCTCATACTTGAATGATTAATAATAAATAGTTAACGAGAGTGATTCCTTACCAGCAACTAAACTCTATGATAAATGAAATGAATTCAATTTTCTATCGTCAAATTCTTTATTTATTTAGTAATATACCATAACTAGTATCACCTGGACGTGGATTGTTGTCTAACAATTGATTCAATACACGTGAACATTGTTGAATGAGATCAATCCTTAAAACGAAGCAAGCTATTGAAAATTAGGTTGATGATACAAGGAAATCAAGAATATTGCTAAAAGTCAACACCTCACAAATTTGATAGCTATGACCCATACAATTATTTAATATATTACCTTGTTTGCAAATTAAGTTTGAATCTGGACTGACGTCATTTTTTTCACACTGAATTGTCTTTCACACTGAATTGTCTTATGTATTTTCCGTTTACCCAAACATGACGACAGAGCATAAGGTAGATATGGGATGCTTATTCTACCATGGTACCTGATCCAAACTTTGTTTATAGTGTTTTCTATTTGCTTTATACTCAATTTGTAAAATTATTATTTTTAGCATGATCACTGATTATAAGTATAGCTTCACATTTCATGATTCCATGATATACATAATTATATATTTCCAAATCTATGCACTCACAGGGTTCAACCATCTATTGTATACATTGACATGGACCGAATACATGGACTTTAGATAAATTTATCTTACCAACACAGTTGTTATTGACTTTTTGAAATCCCGTTCGACAGTTACAAGTGTGAGATCCTTCTAAGTTTTGACAGATTTTGTCACTACCACAGATGTTAGGGTTTTCTGTACATTCATCAACATCCTGGTCACAGTTACTTCCGGTCCAGCCTGATTTACACACACACCCTGTCACTGGATCACACCGGTCCATCCCCTTACCACAGATACACGTTTGTTGACAACCAACACCATAGTTAGGGGGTTCGCATTCTGTAACGTAGTCATAAATTACTTTCTTCACATACTTGTAAGTGCTTACTTTATGAAAATCCATTTTTAGAAAAAAATATTTTAGCAAATTCTTACCTGAACAGGTTGTTTTATCTTGGTTTAACGTGAAGCCAGCGAAACATGAACAAGTGTATGAGCCATCAGAATTCTGACAGTCCTGGGAACAAATACCGCCAACTTCACATTCGTTTACGTCTATAAAAGTGAAAAAGATATCAGCAGTTAAAAGCACTTCAAGAAGTTTTATTTCGCCGATAATAGATTTTATTTTAACTTCATCGTTTTATGCAATAACTGACAAAAATATCAGGCACAGAATGATTCTGTAAAATTCTTTTAAAGTTCAAAGAATGCACATTATGACTTATTTTTAAATAAATAATGATTTTCCCCCAAGATGTTTCTATCATTCAATTTTAAAAAAGAAATTCACGATTTTTGGTTGAAGACTATTTTAAAAATCTCGTGAGTCAGAACCTCAATTCATATGAGATTTGCAGCACTAATTTTTTTATAAAACTTTTCATTATCAAAATTAAGGTTGAATTTTAAACATCTTTTAACACTGAAATTTAAAGTTGATATGTATGATAGTCTCATAGAGTGCCAACAAATGCAAAATATTGTTTTCGTTAGTAGCAATCTATATCTGGATAGCGCATTTCAGAATCAATGCTTTGGGAGGGAGACTGTTAGGAAAAATGAATGCCTGAATTGCATCTTTTATACAAGTTGATGGTTTTGTAGCATTTGGGTTATTTTTAGATTGATTTCTCGTTGCACAAGATTCAAAATTCTTGTTCAGAAATTTACATGATTTAATACAGGAAATTTTTCAGAAATGAAAATAATTATCAGTTATTGCAGTTTCCTACCTCCATCGTAAACGAGCTGAGTTCCGTTAAATAATCGCGATTTTAAGTAATGTGTATCCCAGAAAAATCAGATCTTAAGCACATTAATCTCTAACAATATTAAATTGTTAATCATATCCCATATCAAGGTCAAATTCTAGAAAAATGCTTTTAGATCTATTTAATGTACCGTATTAGAAGTCTCGATTTGTTAAGATAGAATTATACCTGTACAATTCGTTAAGTTCTGTAGTTGGTATCCATTCGGGCAAATACAGAATTTCGTTCCATCGCTTTCCTCGTCACAAGCATATTCACAATTCAATGCACCACAATTACCTGACCCTGAATAGAAGCAATGTTAAAAAAATTTAATGCTTTAACTTTCTCCTTCTATTTTCTCAAATAATCAACATATCAAAGACTTCTGTTGTACATTGAATATAAATTTTTGTCAGGAATCAGAAAACATTATCAAGTTAAAGAGGAATCACACAGCAAAAAGGTAAAGATTACTGGTAGTAATATTTTCTTTAACGTGTATGAATAAAATTAATATTTATGGTACCTGTACATGTTTTATTGTCACTATTCAATGTATAACCAGAGATACAAGAACAAACAAAAGACCCAGGAGTGTTGGTACAGCGCTGCTCACATCCGGATGTGCTTTCTATACATTCTTCGATATCTAAAGGGAAAAAATATACCTGAAATCGTTGTACCTTGTCTACCAATATGAATGAATTTTGATATAAAAATTTCACATTATAGAAACATATACCTTGGCAAATATTTCCGACTCTTCTATAACCTGGTTTACAATTACATTGGTAGCTGCCCTCGGTATTTTCGCACACTTGTGTTGCACTATCGCATGAATTTGTTTCTGTACTATTACATTCATTTATGTCTGTGAATATATTAAAATAATGTATTTACTGTAATTCAGATTAATTTTTTGACTAACATTTTGACTATGTTTAAGAAATAAATTCCTTTTTAAAGTCATTCTTTCAATAAAAAAAAAATATCACTATGCGAATATCAACTGGACACCTCCTGTTCATCAAAATAATTGAAAGATTGAATATGACAAAAAAGAAAATTATAGGTGAAATAAAAACCCAAGATGCAGTCATGATTATCGGCCGAAGGAATGGTCGATGTGTTTGAATGTGAACAATTGGGAAACGAGACGTTATTTTTTCATTGCTTCGATGAAATATTTCTTTATTGATCACATACATTTAAAGTTATGAATAAAAGTTTCAAAAATTTGCCTAATACTAAGTTTAAATAGTTTTATTACTTTTCAGTCTGTTTTTGATTTTACCTTAGGTATTTATTATGATTATATATTAAATGAACTGTCCCCAAACAGTAGCGTCTGTGAGATTATAAAAAGAAAATTAAATTTATAAGGTTTCCGGATATCCATTCAATAAAGTGCATAAAATAATTAATACATAGTATAAAGAGTTAATTAACTTTTATTATGAATACAGTACAGTTGCAAGTGACAGCGTTTATTTCTGCACTCCACATATATTGTGATACACATCTATCACCACGGATCGGGCTAATCACGTGACAAAGATCCGCTGATATATGTGGCGTCTTTAGTCCAATTTTGTCAGCAATTTAAGAAGCTTGTATTTTTGGCATTTGTCTTTAAATAAAATTTAATAATTTGATTTCGATACTTTCCTATCACTTCTCTCCGATTTCTATAATAGTATTCATGAATTTATTTGTCTGAGTATACTTGATAACCAGCAATTAATCGCTGAAATACAAACAGAGGGTCACAGCATTAAGTCAACATGTTTGTGTTCCAAACATAAGTAACTATCCTGAATTAAATGTTAAAGTTAATAAATCATTCCATTCTCTTATGGATACAACTGTAGTTTGTTTTGTATTACAAAGGAAGATGACAAATTGGTACCTTCACATTTGTTATCCGATAAGATATAACCTGCAGGACAGTCAGAACAATTGTATCCCCTCCCTAATGCACGCTCCTCCTCAGGTGTCAAGTCTGTACAGTTTCTACCCTGGGCACAGGGGGACTGGGCGCATCCATCAATATCGGTCAAACAATCCTCTCCTGTAATACACTATACTGTAAGTACATGTGTTAAACCAAGAAAAAATCTCATTTCAGTACACGCTTATAATTCGGGAAGAATGTATGAATGTACGCGTATTGATGAAAGACTAATAGAATCATTCATTACTACGAGTGTGGGATAGTGAAATTCCACCGAGGGGACAAGATTCACGGTCTAGGGCGAGGCTTTGCCGAGTCCTAGACCGTGAATCTTGGCCCCGAGGTGGAATTTCACTATTCCCACATGAGTATGTAATGAATGATTATTTTTTTCGCATTATTTTATCCAAAGTAACGGCCTGTCAATGACATCGCCATGATAGGGCTAAAAATATTTTTTTTTAATTTTCCATCTAATTAAAAATCTAAATACACCGTCGGAGAGAGCGTACCTGAAGATGGTTTTACGTGTAAACTGATAAAATAAATTTCAGTCCATGTAAATTAATTAGATAGATAAAAACAGGGAATAAAAAACTTATCTATCCGAGAGCCTACACATTCATTCAAGAAGAATCATTCCGCGATCTAAAAATAGTGCCATTTAAAAAGTGAAAATACGACAATATTTTGAATGAAAATAAGTTTATCTTAATAAGTTAAATGACAACATTTTAAGTATGTGTAATATTTTTTAACATTGTTACAATTTCTTTGTATAAAGACGGGATGTTTACATTATCGTTCGCGGCGTAGTAATACACAGTGTAAGACAGAAAAATATCACACCGCTGTCTCACACCGGAAAAGTCAATCTTACACTGGTGATTATGCGAGAAAATAACATTCAAAGTTGTGTTGATTTAATTAAAAGTAAGGAAATAAATCAAAAACATATTATTTACAAAAAAATGAACCTGAGTATCCCGTGGTACAAATGCATTTAGCATATTTGAACAGATCACTTGTAGAACTTCTAGTTTCATTAAAATTGCATGTTCCCTGGCCATTACAACCGGAACAGAGAATAACAGTGACATCTACTGGAGCAGCTTGTGCTCCTTTGTCGTCAACAACAGTTACACTGTAAAGAAAATACACTAAATTAAAGAAAATATTGAAAAATGTAGCTTGGGTTTAATTTTTTAGTTGATGGCATTTTAATTAATTATAACTCAAAGAAGGTGATACAATTAGTTATACTCACCTTATATTTGCAATGCTAGTGTCTTGAGGTACCCATGTAGCTATGCCAGTTAGGTTATTGAAAGAGAAGCCTGGAGGTTTTTGAAGTACTTCGTAAGTATAAGTGCCATCATCTGAAGCATTAAACTTGATTTCCACTGGCTTGTTAACCTCTGCCTGAATTTCCGATTCCCCTTCTATATTTGGAATCTCATTTTCTAAAAAGACGAATTGCATAATAAATGCAGATTGATAAAGGACTCAGTTTTCTCTTTCAAATTGATAAATGTATCATCTTTTTAACATTTTTTCTATCCAGGGAGATTTGCATTGTTACCTAAAGAAGCCGTGTCGGCTGCAGATGAATCGGCGTCCGCCCCTGAGGACTTTGCAAGTGACGTATCCCCGGTTGCTAGGAAGTCAAAAATACAAGCTTTTGCGGCATTATCGCCACCACATACTTGTTTTGCTTCGTTGACTTTTTCTTGTTCTACCTCATCTATGAAGAATGGCACAAAATCTGGGTGCGAGTAATTGCTGTGAGACAGTCCAGTGTCATAATGGAAAAGAGACGTTGAGGAATTTATTGACCCTGTAAATATTGCAAACTGGTACATGTATGACTATATTTAGTGATGCCATTTTTAAGTACACATGATACTTCATGATAATTATTAAAATAGCCTTTTGTTGAAAACATTTAAATGAAATTTATATCAAAAACAGTAGAAAAAGTAGGCTGAGAAATGTCTTTCATGTTCACATATTTTTATCAATTTTCAAGGAAAAGGGTGCTAATCTTTATCAGTAATGAAGTTTCATATCTGGAAACTGCAAAATATTTTTTCCGGAGGTGCTGACTGTTTACTTGTATTTATTTGAAAGTTCTTGTATTTTTTTAATTTTACGTATCCCCTATATTGTGAATTATTATACAATGCCTTGTAAGTCATTTGAACATACAAGGAAAAAAGTAAATCAAACTTTGTAATGTAAAATATCACATTCAAAATTGAAGAACTTAACACTTGATTTACTTGCTTCACCTGAAAACTGGGGGAGAGATACTAGTAGAAACATTTTTTAACATTTCAAACGTTCATTAAAATATATTAATGAAATATATGGATATAAAAAGCAGTATTCAAACTCAGAAGTCCATCAAGCATTACAAAATAAGAGCAGTGCAAACATGGACCTCCGAAAAAAAATCAGAGGCGGGATCAGGTGCCATGGTGGAGTGAGCATCCCCTGTCGGCCAGTCACACCCGTCGCGTGTTCCTTGTCATGTTCGGAAAAAAAATCTATTATCAACAAATGATATAAACTCCCTTATAATAGTGTTTGCTTGTATTGATCTGAACTACAATCATTTCAGACATTAGAAATATAAGAAGACTTTTAAAATGGCTTTTTACAAGCTCGTACATTCTAAGCATGCTTTGTCCTATTAGATATATCTAGAAGGGTTGAAACAACATGAACAGATTGTAAGAGAGAGTGAAAGAGCGAGAAAAAGAGAGAGAATATCTCACACAGTTGTCCAAAATTCTGATATATCTTTCGCTCTGTGTCAACATCACTGTCATACAGTGTGGTCCCGTCTGGAAGAATAAAATCGTTGGTTGCATTTCCGTCAAAATTTCCCATCAGTCCTAGCACCTTCCCCTCGTACGCACTGTCCACCATCGTCTCTGTTGTTAGGAAGCGTACACCTAGGCTTATTTTGATTGTTATCGCTGAAAAGAAAACAAGGTGTGTTATTGAAACACTGGTGCCACGTATGGCAACTTAAAGCAAAGGTTAAACTCCCTCTTATGCAAATCAAATATGTTCCAAAAGTAAGGTCTTCTCACAAGAAATTTCATTTGTGAGATATGAAAGCCCTAGCAGCACCTATTAAACATAGGTAATCAGAGATTACAGAGCTCACCTCAACGAATGTTGTCTTTAAGTAAGGCAAAGTCACACAATTAACCAACAAAAAGTATACATTCCAAAAATGAAAATATTTTTAAAAGCAATTTTGATCTGATACTTTGAAATAGACCTACATAAAAAATTTAAACTACTTCTTCTTCATGAAAATGTAATGAAAATCCAGCATCTGAAGCAAATTTGCGAGTTTTCATCTCTTGATGCAGCATTTGTGCAAGTTTGGTTTATACAATGTTATATAAGCCTTATAGTTTTTGGTAATAGACCTGCAAAAACTTTTACCTTGTCTATTATCTGAAAAATGTATGTCCAATTCAGCATCCGAAAAGTCCATTAGTGTGCATCCTTAGATGTATCATCCATGCAAGTTTGCTCATTATAGGGCTCATAGTTTATTGGAAATGAAACATGCATCAAAAAACATTTTCACTCATCTACAAAAAGTAGGTCAGATTCAGCATCCGAAGCAAGCCTGGAAGTATGCATCCTTAGATCGTCTATGCAAGATTGGTCATTTAAAAACTCATAGTTCCTTGGAAATGAAACCTGCACCAAAAACTTTTAACTATTCACTCAACCGGAAAATGTAGGTCAGATTCAGCATCCGAAGCAAGCCTGGTAGTGTGCATCCTTAGATGTATCATCCATGCAAGTTTGGTTAACATAGGTCTTATAGTTACTTGGAAATGAAACCTGTACCAAAAACTTTAACCTGTTCACTCAACTGGAAAATGTAAGAGATTCAGCATCCGAAAAGCCCGATTATGCATCCTTAGATGTATCATCCATGCAAGTTTGGTCAACATAGGGCTTATATTACTTGGAAATGAAACCTACACCAAAAACTTTAACCTGTTCACTCAACCGGAAAATGTAGGTCAGATTCAGCATCCGAAGCAAGCCCAATAGTAGAGATGTATCATCCATGCAAGTTTGGTCAACATAATAGTTACTTGGAAATGAAACCTGCACCAAAAACTTTAACCTGTTCACTCAACCGGAAAATGTAGGTCAAATTCAGCATCAAGCAAGTCCGGTAGTATGCATCCTTAGATGTGGTCCATGCAAGTTTGGTCAACATAGGGCTTATAATTACTTGGAAATGAAACCTACACCAAAAACTTTAACCTGTTCACTCAACCGGAAAATGTAGGTCAGATTCAGCATCCGAAGCAAGCCCGGTAGTATGCATCCTTAGATGTATCATCCATGCAAGTTTGGTCAACATAGGGCTTATAGTTACTTGGAAATGAAACCTACACCAAAAACTGCCCCAAAAATTTTAACCTGCTCCAAAAACATTAACCTGGTCATTCCTTTGCTGAAATTGCAGCATCTGAAACTTTGTCTGGTACAATAAAACACACTAAAACCATCTTGCATGCATGTCTAATCAGTATAGGACACAGAAGTAATTAAAAAGAAAACTGCTCCAAAAAACTTAACCTTAACCTGGGACGCCGACGCCGACGCCGAGGGTATCACGTAAGCTCCCCCCAACTTCGTTGAGGTGAGCTAAAAAGTGTTGGTCATCATAAATTTTTTTAAAGTAGGTCAAACTCCAAGGTCTAGGTCAAAGGGTCAAAGTTTCTGGTATCCAAACGAAGATCTTGTCACAAGCATTATATACTAGTATATGAAATACGGAATCCCCAGCCCTTACAGTTCAAAAGTTGTGATCAAGGTTAAGTTTTTTAAAGTATGCCAAATTCAAAGGACAAGGTGAAGGGGTCAAAGTTGTTGGTATCTAAAAGAAGGTCTTGTCACATGAATAACATATTTCAAGGATTAAAGCCCTATCCCCAACTGTGCAAGCAATATAGCCAAGGATAAACTTTTTAATATGTAGGTCAAAGTCCTAGGTTAAGGTCAAATGGTCAAAGTTGTTAGTATCTAAAGAAAAAAGAATAACATATTTGAAGTATGAAAGCCCTAGCCCAAACTGATCAGAAGTTTTGGCCTAGTAAAAGTTGGTTAAAATTTTGCGAAACTAGGTCAGACTCCAAGGTCAAAATCAAGAGGTCAAATTTGATGGTACTCAAAGGGAGGTTTTGTCGCAAGAAATTCCCGCTGAAATATGAAAGCCATAGTCTCAACCAATCAAAAGATATGGGCAAGGTAAAAGATTTGCGGACAAACAGATTAAAAGACGAACAGGCCGACGGACGACAAGACAAAAACTATAATATCCCCAAATCTTCGATTACGGGGGCATAAAAACAAATAACTTAAAAGGAAACAAGGATTAAAATCTTAATAAAACGCCTTTCAGGTGTAATGCAAGTCAAACACCTGAAAAATTGTTACATCAAAAGTTGAAACTTTCATTTCAATTTATAATTAGATATAGATAAATTTAAATCATTAAGATTTCAACGTTAAATGTGTTTAAATTTTAAGTTTGGATCAGTAATTCTTCTTATTAACCCGAATTGTTATAACTGTAGCATTCAAAATATCAAACCATACACTTCAACTTATTTGTAATTCTAACTTGAATGCTCATCACTAAACAGAACCATTTAGATAGTCTGCTTAAAATTGGCACAAAAGTTTTGTAGAATTATAATAAAATGTTATTTTTCTTCTTCTCTGTATAGAACGGGCTACGTATGGAAATTGACAAAAATAGCAAAGATCATTTAAGTAAACTAAGCTAAGAAATGATCTAAAGGGTTCTAACAATCTGCTCTAAATTTCACCAAATTCAAAATTTCCAACAATGTACTTTGTTTTAACATTCAAAATTTCTTAAACAAAATTTTTATGATAAGCTGAACATTTTGAAAGTTTGGGGGAAAAATACACAAAGAAGCCTTTTTATACTTTGATTTTTCTATGTCAAATACATGTAGTATTCACAACATATTTCTATTGATTTTTTTTGCGAAAAAGGATTCAGAAGATAGTGAGTTCTTTTATATATCTGCATCAGAATGGTAAATGAATAGTTAATATGATGAAAACATTCTCAATCGATGGTTTATAGACCCAAATACTTTTCTGAATTTTCTTACGCAATATTTTAAGAACTCTTATCACTTACCACTTTGAACGAATGATGCAACAAACGTTCCATTGTCATTTGATAAAGACAAATTTAAGGTTCTCAAAATATAGTCGGGGTTATTGTCAAAGTCTGTTGTTAAGTCTCGTCCATTTCCACGAACATACATGCCTGTATTTAAAACAAAAATAGAGAATTAGTCAAAAGTAAACACTAAATTTCTGTTTAAATTATTATCTCCTTCCCTGAAATAACCTTTGGTCACCAATCTGACGTCGAACAATTAACAAAATGCGAATATTTTAAAAAACAGACACAAGTTTCCGGGAAGAAGCTAATAACGAGAAATGTAAAAAAAATTCTTTGGAGAATAGGAAATTAAATGCATGCATTTTCAAGCATCTTGTCCAGTAAAATAAAATACGGATTTTATCACGGTTACCCAAAATGTATACAAAGAAGATTGTCGAAGAATAAAAGTGTCCATTACCATGAATTGAGCTTCAAAACTTTTAAATATAGGACAATTTCGAAAACCTGCATTGGATCTTACATGTATACGTAGAAAGTGATTATTTGGTTAAGTTTTCAATACAGTGTGTGCATTCAATCCTTACGTGTTTTGCTTTTTGACATTTCCACCTGTACAATAGATCCCGTTTGGTCTTTTGCAACAAAGGCGCTAAATGTAGTAGCGTTTATCTTTGTTCCGTTTGCATTAGTTGTTAAATCTGTGCGGGCCTGGAGTTCAAACTCAGTACCGTTATGGTCTATTTTCATCATTGTATATTCACCATAACCATTAAAAGTGTACGCTCCACCATCCAGTGTATTGATATGTGGATCTCCGAAGAACCACGCTATAAGAACCATTCAAACAAGTCAATTATTAATTATTACAAACGATATAAATATAATTAAGATAATAGCTTTCTTTTCAAGAAGTACAGAGCACATTGTTATATGTATGAATATGTAACTCTTCGGTATACAAGTATCATAAATGATAGTAAAATTAGATTCCTGGGTAGATGGAAATCGGATGCATTTAAATATTGCATAAGACACGTGACACCATGTTGATACATGTATATGCTTGAGTGGAAGTGGATCCTCGGAGCAGATTTTGTTTTGTTAATTGTGTAGGATCTCGACTTTGAAGTGATTTTCAAGAGTATTAACTTATGGGGGCATATGTTTATCCCTCATCCAGAACAATAGTGCCTAAGTCATTTGTTAATACTTAGGCTGGTAGGTGACAAGATCGCGTGCATATAAACATTTAAAATGGTGAGGAAGCTTACAGTGTGAAAGACTTTACAATATGGGGGTATATGTCTATCCCTCATCTAAAACATTGCTCGAGGTAGTCCTTAAGTGAATACCACACACATGTGAACTTAGTAAAGAACAGCGAATTAAGATGATGATTTGTGACTATAAGGGCATATGTTTATCCCTTATCGAACATTCTACAGAGTCATTCGTTAATACTTGGGACCCACAGACATAATACACTAGGATAAACTCATTTGGTTGTGATGGGGGCATATGTTTATCCCTCATAAGACACTTGTGAATTCAAATTTTTTTTTATCATAATTGAATTGTAAAAGATTAATAGAAACAGTATCTTGTCATATATATATTTCATGAGAAAGTTGTTTTGTTGCATTACGGGACATATGTTTATTCCCATTTTTGTAAATTTTACTCACTTTTGGTATGATTTAAGTTTGAGGTGTGTTGCCATTTATTTTTCCTTTATGGGTCTGAACTTTCTCTATTTCGGTCAAGTCAGTGGCGTTTTCAGACCCATTTTCATGATTTTTCTGTTAAATCTAAGTGGTAATTAATGTAAATTTGGATTATCTCCCTTTACAAAATTGGTTTTATTTCTCATCTTGATATCTTGTGTCTGTTAAAAATTATATGTCATTATAATAATACTTTTGAGAATTTCAAACAAATTATTAAACGTCACAAAGGTGGCAACACACGACAAACTGTTTTACAGACTTTTTATTCATTGAAGGAGGATAAGATAAGGTGTTCTAGCTTTGAAAGGATTATGGAAAGAAATTAACCAGTTGATGGGTAACCGGGGTATCAAAATACTTATTGCATTAAAATAAAAGAAATTACCAAAAAGTATGTTATAGTATCTACAAGCTTATCTTTTTAAAATGGTTGGTACTTGTAAGCTAGCGCTGTAGCATAATAAGATACAGAAAATGGTATCAACCATTTGTTAAATTTGCTGAATCGATTAATTCTAAATAGGAAATAACACTGATTCACTGGGAGTTGAGTTGTCTAGGGTGTCACAATTCAGAACGGCGAATCTAATACTTCACATCGACAATGGCTTAACTCCTACCTGTGCCGTAAGCATTCTGTATTCTACTGTAATGTCAAGTGTAAAAGGTGACAAATAAAATGTCAGTAGAGCTAACGAGCATTCAGTTTATAATATTCCAGCGTGGTACGATTTTTTAGCAATCGCATCTTTTGGAACTTTGAGCTTGCAAAGATGGATCCATGAAAGTAGATTAGAAAATCTAGGTATTCATTACAATTTTAGAAATGTCTTGTTTTTTTTATAAAGTTACCAAGGGTATGTTTCTGTTACTTTTTGTTCATTTACGTGCAGGTTAGATAACAAAACACGAAACATGGTCATATGGATTTTTTTTATGATAAAAACATAATTTATGCTTTCCAACCTACTGTATTACTGTATACAGGGTTATTTTCGCCCCGCTTTATTTTCGTCCTTTCAATCTTGCAAACAATTTTGCCCCATCTTAAATTCGCCCAGTCACACTTTTGTCTTAAAAATTATACACTTTACTTTATTCTTTGAATTCGCCCAGTTTTAAATTTGCCCAAACAAGGCTAGGGCGAAAAGGGCGAAAATAAAACGGGAGTGAAAATTTTCCTGTATACAGTAATCTGAAAACTTTTTTTTTCTTTCTCCGAGCTCGAGCTTGCCAGAATTATCAAGGAAGTTGCAATTACTGTAAGGAGAGCTAGATGTCTAGAATCCAGCATTACTTTATGACATCAGTTTTTCTTGTACTTTTATGTATAGGTTACAAAGGCGTCGGAAGAAAATTGAAAGGGGAGAGAAAAACCAACAGAAGATATAAGCCCCAATCAATGCCTATATTAAGTCTACATTTACAAAAATAGTGGGAAACGGGCTAACCCGCTATTGGTTAGACAACCATTATTCTTTAATCAGAATTCAGATCTAGACTTTAATTGCCTGTCTCTAACGAAATGTATAGACATATCAGACATGAAAGGCAAGAGTAATGTTTATTATTACCTGTTCGAACCGGTAAAAGTCTGAGACAGAAGTTGGTCGTTGGTCGTAAGTTGTAAAACCATTCACAATGTCCTGCTGCACAGCAAACTTCTTTACCTCTCGCATTATTTAGATAATACTCCCTTGGCTGGAAGAGTGGATTTTCTGACAGCACTGATCCGGCCTCAGGAATTCGTCTGCTTAAAGGTCCCAGTAAACCAAAAATCAGCTGATAGCAACACTCCTTGGTTGAAAAAAATATATATTGAACAATATTTGTGACCTGCTATTGAATATTAATAATGAGATATTTTCAAAGAAATGTACAATGTATTTAAACTTGATTGAACGTATATTTTATATCATTCTGTAAAAAAAATAATTTACAGTGGCACATTTAGCAGATTATCCTTGTGCTGATCAATGAATAATGCAATAATATTTTCTTGTTTATTTGAAGATTAAGTACATACAGATACTGGATAATACTGATCATAAAAAATCCTCTATTTGCCAAAAACATCCAGACCCATGCTTTTATTATATTCAGAAGAAATTCTCTGTGTTTCTTTTGATTTTTAAAGCAAGAAAAGGGATTTAGTTTAGCAATTTCATTGATTAATGGCCTCTGAAAATTGCAATTTACTTCGATCACAAACTTACCAAAGATGATCCAAATGTCAATGATACATAACAAGCAACGTTGTTAACTGCATCACAAACTTACCAAAGATGATCCAAATGTCAATGATACATAACAAACAACGTTGTTAACTGCATCAAATCGAAAAAAGGCAAATCGAGAACCAAAGAACCTCATAGCAGAACCACTACAAGGACACGTCAACCACCAAGGAAACGGGATTCCCCTTCGGGATTGCACCACATACCAGTTATAACATTCAATCTCCAGTGGATTTGCCACGATACCTGATGTCATTTTAGTAACCCAGAATCCTCGAATCCCTATAAAAGGTAAAACTGTTTCAGGTGTTTTAAGAGCAAACCATCACAGATGGAGTAACAACAAAGCATGCAAAGAGTCGTACCTGTATTACCAGGAATGGCAGTCATTCGAAATGAAGCTTGCTGATTAGAATAGGTATTGCTTTCTACAAATCGTCCGTATCTGTAGCCCATTGAGATTCGGGTACCATGTGACGGAGGAACATTTACATCTATATGGTTTATTACATTAAAGGTGTCTCGACCATCAGAAACAATAAGCGATTGAAAAGTTACTCTCTGAAAGTTAATAATTAAACAATTAATTATCATTAAACAATTGAACGACGTACGAGTATAGCAAAGTTTTATATTCTCCATCTTGAATGAAGATTAATTCAATTCTGGCCTTCATGATAAAGAGCATAGGTAAAATTCTTATGAAAAGGTAATCCTGTACCATACCAAATTAAAAGAAAAAAAATCTTACTTCCAAATAAAATTCCTACGCCAATTAAGGGCGTCAGGCAGGTTTAAGCTGAACACGACTCGTAAATAGGCATACGCCATTTTCGATATCATTATCTACGATACATCAACAACTGGGTATACTCTTCAGATTCGTCACACCTGACTGTTTTATTGTCACGGGTATTGGCGTGGAATAGCGACCCGTGTTCGTGCTGGTTACCTTGCATTACCTTTGTTTACATTTTATTGCAGCTACGTGTGTCTTTTTGTTTGTATACTGCACTGACCTGTACACCTACGAGGGGTGATCAAAAAGTTCACGAACTAATTCAATAACTTCCGAAAAAGAAATGATATGGGGGTTCAGTGTTAAAAATGTTTCAAAGTAGTCCTTTCCTATTTTAATACGCATCTGAATCCATTCTACCCATGCCCGAATCACGTGATATTGGCGATCACTAACATGCCCTTTAGCGTTCTGTAACAGAAGCTTAAAATTTTTTCGGACTCTTCTATTACTTACCATGCAAGTTATTTTTTGCAACAAAAACAGTCCATTTGTCAGAAAAGGCCTAATCTCTGCAATAGTTTGGGTGGATAATGATACCCTTTTGCAGAATGAGCATGGTGACCATCAAAATTCAAGTCCTCTGTCTTTTTAGCGTCGTTTATTTCAGGTGGATAAAGTATGGGTGCCTTCACTTTATCATATCTGATATGTTTAAAGTCTAAAGTAAACGATATTTTAGGGATTTGATAATTATATTATTGTTAAGATATTCATCTATTTTTCTAACTGTAAGTTGGCGATCTTTCAAATCAAATTACTTTACAAAGGACACGTCTCTCTCCCAGTTTGCTTTCACCGGGCAACAGAACAAACATCATTTTTAAACATCTCCCTTCCTTCAGTGAAACAATCAATCCAATTAATGACAAAACTTATGGCAAGTCTTTTGTCATCATAAACCGTGTGCAAATTATTATAAACTTGTACGAAGGAATTTCTAAGATATACGTTTAACTTTACAGCCGTCTCGAAGGAATAAGACTGAGTCAACCATTTTTTTGTCACAAGTGATCTACCTTATGACGTCATTTTACATTGTGACGTCACAAACACGAAGCAAAACGTTCCATTACATATGCTATTTATAGAACATATGTATGACTCTATGTGTGCCAAATTTCATTCTGATCTAAATTGCGGTTTTGTAAATATGGAGATAGTTCGCGAACTTTTTGATCACCCCTCGTATAATTGTAAGTTTCTTTGATATCTGACTTTCCTGCATAAGACGAAGTATTACGTTATTATTGCCGCTACCGAGTGCTGTATGGCATACGTCCGTCGACACCGGTGTCGACTGAATACACTGAACAGTGACAAAGTCCTGCCCTTTATATAGGAGTCTGCAGGTAAAGCGATTCGCAAAACCAAAATGGCGGACACACTCCTTTTACGAATCGTGTTCAGCTTTAGAATTAATTTTTACATGGTACGAAACAGTGGCTTGAAAGTTTATATCAAGCTGAATTGGCAAGCAAAATTACAACGGAATTATACTGACTCGCATTTTTAACAACTGCACAGCAGTTATCAGAGGGAAAGACCATCATATTTATTAAATGAAAATGATGACGCAAAGTATTTAAAATTTAATCATACCTTTGTGTCGTCCATGTAAAATGCGAGGTTATGCCATGTAACTTTGAAAACGACGGAGGATTTGAAGTTTTGAAAATCACTGAAATATGTTTGGATTATTCTGTCCACTCGGTTTAATATTTCTTCATCGTTTTGATTTTCCCTACAATGCAAAAAAAAAAAACAAAAAACAATCAATCTTTGTATATGGGGGGCATATTGGTTAGCAGCTGCCATAAGTAGGGCTGGGACGATATATCGAAATATCGATATATCGTGATATCTGTAAGGACGATACGCATATCGATACATATGAAGAAATATCGGAATATCACCCCAACAAATCTGACTTCTGTTTTTCTTTGTTTATTTAACATTTGGGGTTTAATATATAAGATAAATAAGCTATCTATAATATAGATAGGAAATAAATAATAATTAACACCATTTGAGTAAAATATTTTTGTTTTACAACATATAAACAACTATTTTGAATAAATTTTTCTTATTTGCAAAAAATAATTTGTTTATTTCAATGCAAAAAAAGATTTTATAAGCAATTAATCATATCGTGATATATATCGTATCGTGGTTCAAATATCGTGATACGTATCGATATAGAAAAAGTTGTATCGTCCCAGCCCTAACCATAAGGCCGATTTTTCTCATATATATTTTCATCTTTTACTTGAAAGGCGTCATATTGGTACACCAGTATCCATTGATGATGACGTGACCTATATTGATTTGAGGTTAAAAGGTCAAAGATCAACTTAAATGGACATGCAAAAATAATGTTTGCTATTCCAAAGATAGGCAGTTGCTAAAATATTTGTGCAATATTGGAAAAAAATCAGAAAAGGTTTTCCTGAATTTAAGACTGGTAAAAAATATTTAATTCAATTTTTATTCTGTTAAAACTAAACTTTTTGATACACTAGTAATAAGGAAAAATGTCACATCACATCATCAAATTTATTTCAACCTTTAGATTCTTCTAAAAATTTCAATTTTAAGGATGTTCTAAGTACTTATGACACACCAAATTCACAAAAATGAGCGAAACAAAGTTTCACAGCAAATAAGAAATCTCAAAGGTCAAGGTAAAAAGGACAAGGTAATTGGTATCCAATGAAAGGTCTTGCTACAAAAAATACATATGTGAAGTATGTAAGCCCTAGCCCGAACCCTTTAAAATTTATCACCAAGGTTAAAAATTTTAAAAAGTACTTTAAACTCCAAGGTCAAAGGGTTAAATTCTTGATATCAGATGAAAGGTCTTCTCACAAGGATTAAATATTTAAAATATGAAAGCACTAGTCTTAACCCTTTAAAAGTTTTGGTCAAGGTTTGCTTTTTAAAAGTACGTGGAACTCCAAGGTCAAGGTCAAAGGGTGAAAGTTCTTGGTATCCAATGAAGGGTCTTCTCACAAGGATTAAATTTGTGAAGTATGGAAGCACTAGCCCTTACCATTTAAAAGTTATGGCCAAGATTTAATTTTTTACCTAAGTACAGAAATCTCCAAGGCCAAAGACAAAAGGTCAAAGTTGTTGGTATCCAATGAAAGGTCTTTGCACAAAAAATAAATATATGAAGTATAAAAGTCCTGGTATCTACTGCTCAAAAGATAAGGCTACAGTAAAAGTTTGGAATTTTTGTGTAAAATTGTGTCAAACTCCAAGGTCAAGGTCAAAAGGTCAAAGTTGGTGGTACTCAAAGAAAGGTCTTGTCACATGGATTGCACAGGTAAAATATGAAAGCCATAGCTCCACTAAATCAAAAGTTATGGGCAAAGTTTTTGCGGACAAACAGATTAACAGACAGAGAGACAGACTTACGGACGCGACAAAAATTTTATACCCCCAAACTTCGTTTACGGGGGCACAAAAATTAAATAAATCATCCCTTATTCAATTCTGCATTTTTTGGCCCAAAATATTGGACATTAATACTATAGAAAACACACCTTTTATATACTCTGTAGTACACAGCAGAATCCGTTCCCGTTGTTATTAAGTCCACCCAATATGGACAGAGGATCCTGCGGTTAATGGTGTCTGGATCATTTAAATCTTGGACTAAAAAGCTGCCATAAGGCTGGTCTAGTCCCAAAATGCCATTCACACTTACCTAAAGAAATGAAATCATATTCTTTTTGAATTTTCAAAGGGCCATAAACATTATCTTTCTATGCAAAGGAAGTAACTGTTTATTATATTAGTGTGTGCTTTATACTGTTCACGATATAATCTATTGTATCACAGATAAATATCCAAAATTATTGTCAATATTCCTATAGCCGATATTGAGTGACTGACGCGAAACACACTCAATGAGTTTTCAACAAGATTCATGCATCTTATATTCGTGCATATATAAAGTAATACATTGTACTTTAAACGTATTTTGCTTTTCTTTTTGTCGACTTATTTTGCTTATCTTGGAATACTGACTCCTAAAATGTATTGTGTTTACTGGTTTCTTGAACGAACAATCTTATTTCATAAATCCTTTCTTATCGGTAAAAAGAAACTTGTTGTCTTCGACGCCATACAAACAATACTTTCTTTAAGAAAACCTTTCCAATTTTTTTACTACTCATTTTTAGAAATAAAAGAGAAATGTTATTCATTTTAAATGCAGATTTGCAATGTTTCAACCACCTAAGGCCTATAGCATTATATCATTTATTGAATGATATCATGATCACGCTTTCATTTGCAATGGTCGAAATAATAATACAAATATTAGATAGTTATCATGTTAGCATAAGCCTTATATCTGCATGTGATTATTTTATATATGTTTGATATAATTTATATTATTATTTTACATGTACTTAGGCCATGCAAAGTTAATTACTTGGTTCTCAGGCCTTTTTTCAAGAAATATGATGAGGGAGGGAGGCATTTTTTTTTTCTTTTTTATTGCCCCCAAAACATGATGAGACAGCTTTTTACATTGTACAAAACCTCAAAAAATGATGAGGGAGGTGACTTGGTGTTTATATTTTACTGATTTAGCAATAAAAAGGGTCAATGAGGCACCCTTGGAAGAGATGAGGGAGGGCCTGAGAACCAAGAAATTAATTTTTTTTTTGCCTTACGTAAACATCTTGAAATCCATCACTTGAACCGTCGCCAATCTGTAGTTGAGTAGGAGCTCTTAGGGCAGATGATACATCATCATCCCCAGTCAGGGATGAATCTTGTGCAACAGAACCGAATGGAATAGCTTCTGTAACATTATTATATTTACAATATAACATTCATTCAGACCTCTAGCATTGTAAAAGTAAAAAAAAAAGTTAAATACAAGGAATATTTTCATACTGTTTCAATATTCGTTAATGGATCGACACTGACAAAAAATACTAGTAATCAATTTTCAAGACTTTATTTTTCAAAACAGAAACATTCAATTAGTAAAACGGGCGCAAAATAAATTTCGTTAGGTATACTCGTATATACTCATATGTCACATAAATCAAAATTTAGTGATAAATCGAGGTCCAGAACTTGACCGACCTACAATGTCTCATAGTTAAGCATCAGGATATGTCCATTAGAGGTATTCAATGATAGGGACATCTTGAGCCTTTTTAATAGTCATTCATGGACATGGTCATTGCTTATTGATTAAAGATCTTGTCTGAAAATGAGCAGTACAAATCCATACACTGCTATGCATAAAATATTAGAAAAGTATAAATATAATCGTCCTCTGACTCTATCCGAGCCTTCAATCAATTCTCGGACAATTTTAATATTAAGATCCAATATTATTTGCGACGATGATCATTCTTGATTTATTGGGTTACTTTAAACATTTTTAAACAGGTTGCTTTCAGCGGTTCTTTGTTACCGACTTTTATGACCGAGCTCCCTGCACCTAGTTCCGAAACCAAGTTCCTATTGAAATGAGCACTCGGTGCCTCACCCTTACTCAGGATTACTAAACCTTGTACTTCAGCTCAATTTCCTGGCTAAATTAACACCTTTGCTCTGTACCCTAGCCTTACTTTTCTTTCTTTCTATCATTACCCTTTTTCGCTTCTACAACTGCTTACCTCTTACTCTGGAATTCAGTATGATTCTCTGAGCTTTATATCGCCAAGGGATATACCTATCCAAACAGGGGTGAACAGGAATACGGACTGTTCCATTAGTCACACCAATGTTTGAAAGGTTATGGCCCATTGTCTCATTCAGTATTCATTTAAAAAATAAAACCAGTAAATATTCTTATAAAATGTGCTAAAACACAATGTATTTACCATTCATAACCATCTTTATTACCATCATTTTAAATTCTAAATCCCAATGACAAACGTTTTTAAATATCCCATGTATGCATGTAATCCTTTGCTTTTCTATATTAATGAATCGAATTTTATTTATTCTTGATTAATGACTGTCTTATATTGCCGATTTATGGCATTTTATTTCCAAGTGTGCTGAGGAAGAATTAAATTATAATTTATACATCATTGTGAACTTAAAGGAGAAAGAAACGCAGGGTAATATCATATGCGAAATACTTTTGACTTAGCGACCGAAATCTTGTTGATTGTGCAAAAAAAAAAAAAAAGAAATGCTCTGTATAGGACCATGTGCTAAAGTAACTGCCCTTTTGAGATCCAGAGTAACACGCTAGCGCAAAAGGATAACGCGCTAGCGATTTGTATGCAAGCATGACGGCGTGTTGTGTGTTAGCGCGACGGTATGTTGTGTAAAGTTGTGTGAGCGTGACTGCGTGAAATGTGTTAGCATGACGGTGTGTTGTGAACAACTTTGCGCTAATGTGTTGTTCCTAACGCGATGTTACACTTTTGAAAAAGGCCCTATAGGGACACCAACATAGTCGTCAGAGAGAAATAAGAATGATTTCCAACTAACCCTATCGGTAACGCTGGTGCAAAAAAAACGTGATATGAAAAAAAAAGTTTTTCATCCTGCCATCTGTTTGATTGCCACGGTATCACCACTAAGACGTACTCTACTATATAAAGCAATAATAAAAATAAGTTATCTAAAACTTAAAGAAATCCATTTCTCTTCTTTATTCTGAGTGATACTCGCATTCGCGCTCATTTGCATCGTAAGCCAAATTATTTATATAAAGCCCCCGAAAATGTTGGCAGATTTTGTTTAGACTTTTTCGTATATATTCACGTTTACTAAATCAAATGACATCCGTAATTTCTTTGTTTTCACTTGAAATTCTTTGGGACTGTAACTGGACGCTAGGGTTTGAATGTGTCGGTATAGCCGAGCTAATATCCTTCACGCGCAAAGGAAATATTGAGATTTTTTTGTCATTTTTGGTGGGCACCGTCACATGAATTCAATAACTTATGAAATATCAGTCAATATCACATCAGATTTTGGCAATTTATTAAAAAAAAGATGAGTCTAAATGATAAATAAAAATAATAAAAGATATCATATATTCGGAAAAAATCGTATGATTTTTTTTTTACAAAAGTTTACCCTGCGTTTTATCCGAAAAAATCACAGCTTACAACTACTCGAAGCTTGTTGCTGCACATTTCTTTTATAAACATAGGTCGATAGCGGCTTGGATTTGAACCAAAGACCTTGATTGCGGAAGCAGCGCTCTTCTGACCTAACTAGCGTGAGATAAAAAAGAAAAAGGGAAGCAACGTCGGTCCAAATTAACATGAGTCATTCTTAAAAAATATTTTTATATCAGACAATACTTTTCAGTCAACGAAATAACACCAGGAATTTTTAATAAAAACTACATCTTAACTTGTGGCGCATTCTATTAGAGTTGTCTATTAAAATTGAATGCTCTACTATGGTAAAATTAATTTACAAAAACCTCAGGAATGTTCAAATAAAGATATTCATTGGTAAAATGTTTGATCAGACTCAGGCTGTGGCAACGAATCAGCAGGGCAATTTGATGGAATGGATGTACCGGTAAATCTGTCGTCACAAGCCACGGGGTTTGTGTCCATGCTATTTCCATTTGAGGAAATAGCCTGGACACAAAAACCCTTTGCTTGCAACATTGTGATATACCATGATTTCCTTATGAGACAATTTGTTTCGTCATTTCTTTGCTGAGGTAGGATAACACGTAAATTCTCAACTTCATTTTCTATTTGAACAAAAATAGATTATACCGTTAACAGCCGGCGCACTAGTTGTTGTTGGTGGTGGTTCTGTTGTAGTTGTTGGTTCAGGTGTAGTTGTAGTTTGATGCGGACTTGTAGGTTCTGTTGTTGTGGTTGAAGGTTCTGTTGTTGTGGTTGAAGGTTCTGTTGTTGTTGTTGAAGGTTCTGTTGTTGTTGTGGTTGAAGATTCTGTTGTTGTTGTTGAAGGTTCTGCCGTTGTTGTGGTTGAAGGTTCTCTCGTCGTTGAAGGTTCTGTTGTAGTTGTTGTAGATTCTGTTGTAGTTGTTGTAGATACTGTTGTTGAGGTTGAAGGTTCTGCTGTTGTTGTTGTTGAAGGTTCTCTTGTCGTTGGAGGTTTTGTTGTCGTTGAGGGTTCTGTTGTAGTTGTTGTAGGTTCTGTTGTTGTCGTTGAAGGTTCTGTTGTTGTTGTTGTTGTTGTTGATGGTTCTGTTGTCGTTGAAGGTTCTGTTGTTGTCGTTGAAGGTTCTGTTGTAGTTGAATGTTCTGTTGTTGTCGTTGAAGGTTCTGTTGTAGTTGTTGTAGGTTCTGTTGTTGTCGTTGAAGGTTCTGTTGTTGTTGTTGATGGTTCTGTTGTCGTTGAAGGTTCTGTTGTTGTCGTTGAGGGTTTTGTTGTAGTTGAAGGTTCTGTTGTAGTTGTTATAGGTTCTGTTGTAGTTGTTGTAGGTTCTGTTGTTGTGGTTGAAGGTTCTGTTGTTGTGGTTGATGGTTCTGTTGTCGTTGAAAGTTCTGCTGTCGTTGAAGGTTCTGTTGTTGTTGTTGTTGTTGATGGTTCTGTTGTCGTTGAAGGTTCTGTTGTTGTCGTTGAGGGTTCTGTTGTAGTTGTAGGTTCTGCTGTAGTTGTTGTAGGTTCTGCTGTAGTTGTTGTAGGTTCTGCTGTAGTTGTTGTTGGTTCTGTTGTCGTTGAAAGTTTTGTTGTCGTTGAAGGTTCTGTTGTAGTTGTTATAGATTCTGTTGTTGTTGTGGTTGAAGGTTCTGTTGTTGTGGTTAAAGGTTCTGTTGTCGTTGAAAGTTCTGTTGTCGTTGAAGGTTCTGTTGTCATTGAAGGTTCTGTTGTCATTGAAGGTTCTGTTGTAGTTGTTGTAGGTTCTGTTGTTATTGTGGTTGAAGGTTCTGTTGTAGTGGTTGAAGGTTCTGTTGTCGTTGAAAGTTCTGTTGTCGTTGAAGGTTCTGTTGTCGTTAAAGGTTCAGTTATAGTTGTTATAGGTTCTGCTGTTGTTGTTGTTGAAGGTTCTGTTGTTGTGATTGAAGGTTCTGTTGTCGTTGAAGGTTCTGTTGTTGTTAAAGGTTCTGTTGTTGCTGTAGGTACTGTTGTTGTTGTGATTGAAGGTTCTGTTGTTGTGGTTGAATGTTCTGTTGTCGTTGAAAGTTCTGTTGTCGTTGAAGGTTCTGTTGTCATTAAAGGTTCTGTTGTAGTTGTTATAGGTTCTGCTGTTGTTGTGGTTGAAGGTTCTGTTGTCATTGAAGGTTCTGTTGTAATTGAAGGTTCTGTTGTCATGGAAGGTTCTGTTGTTGTGGTTGAAGGTTCTGTTGTCGTTGAAAGTTCTGTTGTCGTTGAAGGTTCTGTTGGCATTGAAGGTTCTGTTGTAATTGAAGGTTCTGTTGTCGTTAAAGGTTCTGTTGTAGTTGTCATAGGTTCTGCTGTTGTTGTGGTTGAAGGTTCTGTTGTCGTTGAAAGTTCTGTTGTTGTTGAAGGTTTTGTTGTCGTTGAAGGTTCTGTTGTCATTGAAGGTTCTGTTGTAGTTGTTGTAGGTACTGTTGTTGTTGTGGTTGAAGGTTCTGTTGTTGTCGTTGAAAGTTCTGTTGTCATTGAAAGTTCTGTTGTCGTTGAAGGTTCTGTTGTCATTGAAGGTTCTGTTGTCGTGGAAGGTTCTGTTGTCATTGAAAGTTCTGTTGTAGTTGTTGTAGATCCTGTTGTTGTTGTTGTTGAAGGTTCTGCTGTTGTTATGGTTGAAGGTTCTGTTGTCGTTGAAGGTTCTGTTGTCGTTAAAGGTTCTGTTGTAGTTGTTGTAGATTCTAATGTTGTGGTTGAAGGTTCTGTTGTTGTTGTGGTTGAAGGTTCTGTTGTCGTTGAAGGCTCTGTTGTCATTAAAGGTTCTGTTGTTGTTGTCATTGTAGGTTCTGTTGTCGTTGTACGTTCTGTTAATGTTGTTGTAAATTCACTTGTGGTTGCTGAAGGTTCTGTTGTTGATGATGAAGGTTCTGCTGTAGGTTCTGTTTTAGTTGTCGTGGATTCTGTTGTAGTCGTTGTAATTTCTGTTGAAGTTATTGAATCTGTTGAGGTTGTTGTTGAAGGTTCTATTGTTGTCGGTTCTGTTGTGGCAGTCGTTGAAGGTTCTGTTGTTGTTGAAAGCTGTGTTGTAGTCGTTGTAGGTTCGGTTGTGATTGTTGTAAGTTCCGTTGTTGTTTGAGGTTCTGTTGTAGTTGTCATGGAAGTTTCGGTTGTTATGTCTGTGGTTGTTTCTGTTGTTGATTTTGTTGCCAGTAGAACAATTATTGCAGCAACAATTCTGTTCATTTTGCTTTTATTATTGTCTGGAAATCAAAATAATTATTATTTGATTATTTCTTCGTTTGCATTTATTTTTCATATCTAAACTCATACAGAATTTTGCTAAGTTCTAAACACTTCAGTTCATATTTAAAAGGCACGTCCTCTTTTTATAGGTATGTCTGTCACAGTTGTAATGTAAAGAGCTTTTGTACAGGTTACCTTTCTATTTTTAAGTGCTGCTGTGCTGATTACTGATCTACCGTATGGACCAATGAATTTTCACTTACCACCAATTTATAGCATGTTTTACTACTGTAGAAGTACTTTTTTTCCGTGTGGTATTAATTTACGCTTTGTATGCGGTCACAAATTTTCCGCGGAAATTTGTCCAAGCGTACTTAATATAAATGTAAGACATTTAGTGACAATCTAGAAAATCCGCGTAATTTTCTACCCGCTGATTGAACAGAAACTGAGATTCCGCGGAATTATGATCCCGTGGAAAAAAAGTACGTCTACAGTAATTTGTACACTTTATATATGCATGTTTAACTATGTTTGTACCTACCTGGTGACTGCAGATTGTAATAACGTTCATTTAAGATCGATTCGATCAAGGTGATGATAAATTTTGATATTTAGTTAGACGTATAATTCTGTACAATAATCCTCTAATTTTCAATAAGTTATCACAGAGAAACCAAAATGGAAATTGAAATATATAATATTACGCGCCGAAAACAGTAATATCACTCTACCATGCTTCATACCATTTCCGAAATTGTTTTGAAAATTTCAATTTTTAGGTCACCTGAGTAAACTCAGGTGCTCTATTGCTATCCGTTTTCGTCCTTCGTCGTGCGTTGTGCGTTAACATTTGAATATTTTCAGCTTCTTCTCTGTAACCACTGAATTAATTTCAACCAAATTTTGCAGAAAGCATCTACGGGTGAAGGGGAACAAAAATTGTGAATTTCATGGCCCCTGCCCCCCTGGGGCCTGGGGGTGGGGTCAAAACCATTAAAATTAATGCAATTTTAAAAAATCTTCTTTACTCCTGGACATCAAGCAGTAAAACGGTTTGCATTATTGAAATCAGCATTGAGTCTTCCACCAAAATTGTGAAATTCATGGCCCTTGGGTCAGGGGTTCTAGTGCTAGGGCGTGGATAAATGAGTATATAGTGAAAATGCATTATTTCTTTGAAAATCTTCTTCTCTGCTCCCGGGTATTAAATATACTGACTAAGTGCATGGTAATGATGAGCGAGAGTGCCTCTACCAAAATTGGGAATTTTATGGCCCCAGGGTCAGGGGTTCTGGTGTTAGGGCGGGGTTGTATTGATTATATTGTGAAAATACATGAATTCTTTGAAAATCTTCTTCTCTGTTCCTAGGTATTAAATAAAATAACTAAGTACATAGTTATAATGAGCAAGAGTGCTTCTACAAAAATTGGGAATTTTATGACCCCAGGGTCAGGGGTTCTGGTGTTAGGGCGGGGCTATATTGATTATATAGTGAAAATACATGAGTTCTTTGAAAATCTTCTTCTCTGCTCCTAGGTATTAAATAAAATAACTAAGTACATAGTTATAATGAGCAAGAGTGCTTCTACAAAAATTGTGAATTTTATGGCCCCAGGGTCAGGGATTCCGGTGTAGGGCGGGGCTCTATTGATTATATAAAGAAAATACAATAAAATAAATCTTTGAAAATTTCTTCTCGGCTCCCGGGTATTAAGCACATGAACACCTATATAGTTATGATGAGCAAGGGCCCTTAACTTCCAGAATTGTGAATTTCAAGGCCCCAGAGTCAGGGGTACCATAGGGGGGGAGCTGTACTTATATACTAAAAATGAATGATTTGAAATATGTTCCTTGGTATTAATCAAATATTTTTGAAAAGCAAGGATGTGTGGTAGGGGTACTACAGATTAAAGCTGAATATTACTGATTAGTTGAAATGCATTTTTTGTTCTCCTACCCTGATTGTGTTTTAAGTTACCAAACTAAGCAACTGCTAAGTGTATAGTTATGATGATCGATGGTGCCTATTTCAAAATTGTGAATGCATAGCATCTGGCTTAAAACATGAATCAAATTCAATCACTGGAAATTGTTGCATAATGCTCAGGTGACCTATAAGGCCCATGGGCCTCTTGTTCATCTCCGACATTTTTAATTTTCATTTTTCATTTCCGACATATTCAAGTATTCATCTCCGTCGACATTTTTTTCATTTTATGTTTGTTTGGTGTTTTTTTTTTTTTTTTTTTTAATTTTGTTTTGTTTTGTTTTGGTAATGAAAGCAGGATTGAAGAATTCAATTATGAGAAAAAGTGGGCGTTTACATTTCTGAAACCCTGATATATCAAATGTCTTGGACATGAGTTCGGTGCAATCATTGAAACTTAATTTAGAGAACATTAAATGTTATACAAGTAACAGCTTTTTAAAAAGCTTGCCTGACTAACTCAATCAATTTATCTGCATGAAGAGTGATAATCCTTTTGAGCATAAATACCTTTGTGGGTTTAAAACATATCCTAACTTTATATTTTGAGAACCTTGTGTAATTGAAATCTTGATTTTATTCAACTTGTAGAAGAATCATCTCTACACTGCATATTAAAGGGTTGTTATTCTGATAGGGGGGAGGGGGGGGGGGGTAGGTCTTCAAGTGGTATGATCTGCCCTTGGATCTAAATTGATTTTAAGCTGCATTGTAACACCTATTATAAAATATTTTTTCAAATCAGGCATTGTAAACACTTTAAAAGATGGATATAATTAAATACACATTTTGTTGTAGTATATTTTCTCCTCTGAAGAAAACAGTAGTAATGTTTGTTCATTTTTATGCCCCCGTAAACGAAGTTTCGGGGGTATATAGTTTTTGTTGTGTCCGCCCGTCTTTCTGTCTAGCTGTCTGACTGTCTGTCTCTCTGTCTGTCTGGCTGTCTGTCTCTCTGTCTGTCTGTTTGTCCGCAAAAACTTTAATCTTGCCCATAACTTTTGATATTTCACATGTGTATTTCTTGTCACAAGACCTTTCTTTGGGTACCACCAAATTTGACCTTTGACCTTGTTCTTGGAGTTTGACCCGCTTTTACATGAAAATTTTTAACTTTTACTTTGGCCATTTCTTTTGAACAGTAGATACCAGGACTTTTATACTTTACATATGTATTCTTTGTTGAATGACCTTTCATTAGATACCAACAACCTTGATCCTTTGACCTTGACCTTGTAGATTTCCGTACTTGTGAAAAAACTTCAACCTTGGCCATAACTTTTGAACGGTAAGAGATAGGGATTTCATACTTTATATATGTAATCCTTGTGAGCCTTGTGAGAAGACCCTTCATTGGATACCAAGAACTTTGACCCTTTGACCTTGAAGTTTGACCTACTTTGAAAAAAAGCAAACCTTGACCATAACTTGTAAAGGGTTAGGGTTAGTACTTTCATACTTTACATATTTAATCCTTGTGACAAGACCTTTCATTTGATAACAAGAACTTTGACCCTTTGATCTTGACCTTGGAGTTTGAACTACGATGTTCTTTTAAAAAAATTCAACCTTGGCCATCACTTCTGAACGGTTAGGGCTAGGGCTTCCATACTCTACAAAAGTATTATATGTGGCAGACCTTTCATCAGAAATCAATTACATTGACCTTTTGACCTTGACCTTGGAAATTTTTATACTTATTGAAAAACTTTAACATTGGCCTACTTTCAAATTTCACAATTGTTTTCCTATGAGAATACCCTACTTTTGGTATCAATTAATTAAATTTGAATTTAAGAAAAGTTTAAAATTGCTATGTGCCATACGGAGGCATCAGTGTTTCACAAACACATCTTGTTTTTCTCTTAAAAGGGGGATGTTCCTCTGATATATTGAGAATGAAATAAGTAAATTGAATATTTAGGCCTTTTTGGAAAGAAATATCCAAGATTTTTCACTGATTTTTTATGTTTATTCTGTGCATCTGAACAGAGACATATAAAAGATCATGCATCTGGAGACGATGACCTGAATTACATTGTTTATTATTATTGAACTGGTCCATTTATGGAATAAACCAACCGCGGGATCGGGTAGCAGATTAGAACAAGATGTGTTTGTGAAACAATGATGTACCCGTATGGCAACATAGCAAAGATTAAACTTTTCTTAAATGCAAATTTATTTAATTGGTACCAAAACTAGGTATTCTCACTGGAAAACAATTGTGAAATTCGAAAGTAGGCCAATGTTAACGTAATTGTCAATAAGTACAAAAAATCTCCAAGGTCAAAAGGTCAAGGTAATTGGTATCCAATGAAAGGTCTTGCCACATAGAATACCTCTGTAGAGTATGGAAGCCCTAGCCCTAACCGTTCAGAACTTATGGCCAAGGTTAATTGTTTTAAAAAGTAGGTCAAACTCCAAGGTCAAGGTCAAAGGATCAAAGTTCTTGTTATCAAATGAAAGGTCTTGTCACATGAAAGCACTAGCCCTAATCCTTTGAAAGTTATTGTCAAGGTTTGTTTTTTTTTAAAGTAGGTCAAACTCCAAGGTCAAGGTCAAAGGGTAAAAGTTTTTGGTATTCAATGAAGGGTCTTCTCACAAGGATTACTTATATGAAGTATGAAATCCCTATCCCTTACTGTTCAAAAGTTATGGCCAAGGTTAAAGTTTTTTTTACAAGTACGGAAATCTACAAGGTCAAAGTCAAAGGGTCAAGGTTGTTGGTATCCAATGAAAGGTCTTTTAATGAATAATACATATGTGAAGTATCAATATGTCCTGGTATTTACTGTTCAAAAGATATAGCGAAAGTAAAAGTTTAAAATTTTCATGTAAAAGCGAGTCAAACTCAAAGGTCAAGGTTAAAAGGTCAAATTTGGTGGTACCCAAAGAAAGGTCTTGTCACAAGGAATACACATATGAAATATAAAAGTCGCGGCTTTACTTAATCAAAAGTAATGGGCAAGGTTAAAATTTTTGCGTACAAACAGACAGAAAGAC